ATAAATAGAGGTCTCCCAAAGTATACTCACAGATTTTAACCAAACTATGTAGTCAATCGATCACAAATGTAATTAGTATGAAATTTGCAATTCGCACGATCTGTCAATATGGTGGAGATATTTGCATCCAAAGCGGGAAAAAAACGTAGAAAATTTAAAAAATGTACCTTAGGGGGGAGGTTTGTTCTCTTTTTATGCAAATATCTCATCTAAACTTGAGAATTTGCTGATAGTTCCATTTACAAATTTAATACTAATTACATTTGTGATTGATTGGCACCCGTTTGGTCAATACATAACTTTTCTTCACTAGATGGATATCTAGAGTTTGGTGAGCACGTGAATGGCTGATCCAGATTGGCATCCTGCAAGAGATGCGGGTAGGCCGGTTGACGAATTTTTGAAATTTACTGCCCCATTTATGCACCAACGAAAATATTAAATTAACTCTAATTATAAATTATGATAATAAATCCTACCCAAATTTTGTTAAATGCTTTATTTATTTATGTATTTCATACAAGTAATTATGCACCACAATCATTTTACATATGGAATGTAAGACGAGTCAGCCTCGACTAACTCTTTGGAACCAACATTCAGTGAGTAAATTGCGTAGATGAAAATTTTTCAGCAATTTATGGGCGCCCGTCAGATTTTGCCAAAAATCTGGGCGTTTTCGATAACTTGCGGCGTCCATAAGAACTTGCCAAAGTTTGCACAAGTTCCGCACTAACAAAGGATCTTTTTTTCTAAGTATCTACATACACTGGGATGTTCTAGCGAGTTGTATCAAAAAATAAAGTCGACAAGTTGACTACTAGAACAGCGCGGAGTTTTTTTAACTTCAGATAAGCTATTTTGGATCAGTTCCAAATTTTCTGAAAGCTTCTTAAACCTAAGACCTGATCCTCTAGAAACTGTCAAACTCTTGAATTATCTATGTACATATTATCCTCGTGTTTACGCGATCCACCTCATTACTCATTAGCATAAATCTCACTATGCCCATTTTCGGCGATACGGGCTTTCCATGTTGAATAAACTCTGAATGTCTCTCGCGAATGCGTCGAAATATGCAAATGCGGTAATCGGCTATAAAAATTCGACAGTATGTACAGTACTTTCAAAAACTTGCTCTTCTAATGTGTTAATTATACAGACACACACATAAATAAGTTGTTTGTGTACATAGGCAGACAAATGATAGTCATTTGATAATATTATTATTTTTATTATTATTATTCAAATGATAATATTATTTTTTGAAATTCGTATCGTATGTATCAGAAATTTCCATGGAGAGTTGCATATTTACTATACATAAGTTATCACTCAACCATGTTTTTGTCTTTCTTCATGAAGCATCATGAAAACGATTCATACCTTTCATGAAAATCAATCCGACGCATTTCACTTAGTGGTCTCAACGGTGCGGTTCGGTTCGGTTCTTGGAAGAACCGGTTTAGAACCGAGAACCAGAATTGAAGAACCGAAACAGAACCGAACTTTTTTTAGTTGGAACCGAACCGGAACCGGACCAAACCGTGACCGAACCGGCGGTTCGGGTCAAACCGGTAGTGTTATTAATATGCAATAAACAACAAACAATGCTAATTGACGTGTTTCTGATGAAATTTCACATATAAGCCAATAACTTATCTGTATTTAAACAAGCAAATTCTAATACATGTCAACAGTAAAACCACTTATGTATATATTATTGAAGTTAGAAAACAATTCCAAGTTTGGGGTGCAACCAAGTCAAAATTTCAATTTGGAAACATTGGGGGTGTGACCAAGTAAAAATTTCATTTTGGAAACATTGGGGGTGTAACCAAGTCAAAATTTCATTTTGGAAACTTTGGGGTGTGACCAAGTAAAGATTTCATTTTAGAAACTTTTGGGGGTAAAAATTTCGTTTAGGAAACTTTGGGGGTGAAAATTTCATTTTGGAAACTTTGGAGGTGTCATCAAGTCAAAATTTGGTTTTGGAAACATTGGGGATGTAACCAGGTCAAAATTTCGTTTTGGAAACATTGGGGGTGTGACCAAATAAAAGTTTCATTTTGGGAACTTTGGGCGTGTCATCAAGTCAAAATTTGGTTTTGGAAACATTGGGGGTGTGACCAAGTCAAAGTTTCATTTCGGGAACTTTGGGGGTGTGGCCATGTCAAAGTTTCATTTTGGGAACTTTGGCAGTGGGGCCACGTCAAAATTTCATTTTGGAAACTATGTGTATTTCGGGAAATTCGTAAAACTTTTTCGAAAATATGATTAACTTCGCTAATGTATTTATGTATGAAGTTCGGTTCAACCCGAACCGGCCGGTTCGGTTCGGTTCTCAAAGACTTGGAACCGGAACCGAACCGGTAATAAAAGTTTCGGTTCGGTTCGGTTCTCCGTATAAACCGGAACCGAACCGAGCCATCGGTTCCGGTTCGGTTCTATGAGAACCGAGAACCGTTGAGACCACTAATTTCACTCCTCATGAGAAAACCGGATTCTCCCATATTCCATCCAAATACTTTTTAATTATCATATAAATTTTAACCTTCGACATTCCACAATAACCATGTTGACAATGAATAATAGTAAGTACACTCTCAGAAATGTAGCATACTTCTCGAAAAGTAAAAATGAATGTAACCCTGAACTGAGAATACGAAGGTATTTTAAAAGTAAATCCAGTTGCTCTTATATGAGCAAGCGATCTTTTTAACTCTGAAAGAACCATGCTTGAAAATAACTTAAAAATTAGCCCACGTCTACCCTCACTAAAGTTGATCGAACTTCATTCCGAGTAAGCCTGCCGCAATTCGCCCGCCCTTCTTGATTTCTACCTTGGAGTTTGTTAGTCTATTCCAGACTTACACATTTCCCTCGTTAATTCCGAAATTTAAATTCCCATTAAAAAATTTTTTTAATGTGTGATACGGAGATCCAAAGATTATTAATTCCATTTAATCTTGGAAAATACTGTCAATTGTCTAAAGGTAAGATCTATTTTAGATTCCATTCTGTATTTTTATAAAATAAACTCTAACTCAAACCTTTGCACGTTTTTTAACATAGCTAATAATCTAACCGGATTCTTTACAACACATTAAAAAAAGATGACCTCATCCACGTCGTCCCGCCTTTTCAATTTAATGTTCCACCCGTTCTCCAGGGGTTGATTGTACAAATTATACAGAATATTTAACCCTGTTTCTTAGCTTGTTTTAGCGTCAAAAATATCTCAAACATTTTTTGCCATGCTGTAATATTATTTTTAACCTACATATGATAGTAATTGGATTGTAAAACTTAATAGTTGTGAAATAATAAATTGCGCTCACTTAAATAAATATATATTTTTCCATTTTTAACTGAACTTTAAAATTAGTAAGCCGAGCCCCGGATAGAGTAGGTCATATACTCCAAACCGTGCTTACTTTTACTTAGAATCGGGCAGAATTGCTTCATATAGAGTAACATCTTCCTATATGTCGTACAAGCACTATGCATAATTTGGAGCATACTACAACTCTGATCCTGAGTGGAGTAAGTATGCTTACTCCAGACTAGTTGCCGCACGTATTACTCCGGGCAGCGTCGAAGCACTTTGACTACGTATTGGAGTGACATTTTACTTCATTCGAAGTGAAAATTTTTAAGAGTGTACTTATTATTAAAACAGATGTGCTACCGATTCATCAACACTTTTTAAATTTTCCACACAAAAGGGACAATTCAAAGGTGCTGACATTATTGATTGGGACGTTTGCAAAATTTTGTACCGAATGGTATAAATACCGTCCCCCTTACAGCCATTTATATATTACCGGATAGAAAGCAATCTATATTTCGACAAAAAAATCATTAATTTCTCCACACGATTAATTGGGCATGAAGCTAATCGCCCTTATCGTTGTCGGTATCGCAGTTCTGGTTTGCGCCACCAGTACTGAAGGTCAGGGAATAGATACGCTTGGTGGACCATGGTTCCCCCCACCACCACCATGGCAAGCGAGCACATTTACTCCAATAAAAAATAAAAATTGTGAACTTTCCCACAAAATTATTCGACATGAAGATCTGCGCCCTTGTCGTTGTCACAGTTCTGGTCTGCGCCACCATTACTGACTGTCAGAGTGATTCGACAAGAGTAAAACCAAAGCGGCTACTTCCGCAGCAGTCACAGCCACCACCCAAATTACAAAATCCAACTGTTTTACCTGGTAAGATGCATACCCTTATTGGTAACACTGTGAAATTATTTGTGCGTGGCACCTAATTTGCAAAATAGTTGTATCCCAATTTTCTCGGCGGTACGTGCTTATGATCAGATACATTACTAGTACCTATGTAGTAAGACTACTGTGGAATTATTTGTGGAACCTCATTTGCATAAATCGAATCATGCCTATTTTTGGCGCGAGGTGCTTTCTAGGTTGAATAAATTCTTACCCCTGCGTCAAAATCTACATGCAAATGTGGTAACTACGTTGTTTTAATGAATCTTTTTGGTTTGAGATTCTGCAAAATTCCGAAAACTAGAATATGTATTTTGTACCGAAATTGACAAAGTAAAATTATGTAGTAGCAAATTTTGTCAATATTTGTTGACAAAGTTGACTTTGACAATATTCAAACTTTTTTTAAATGAATGTCTAGAGTTTGGTGGTGAGCACGTCGTGCAAGCTAGATCCCAAGCTAGCTGCACCAATTGCGCCTGAAAGTTCCCACGAAGAGGATACATAATTCGGTTGATGACTTTTCTGGATTTGTGAAATTTACTGCACCAATTTTCAAGGAAAATATTAAACTACCTCTTCTAACTTAAATATGTGAAATGATTAAATATTTACATAAATTATAAAATTATTATAAAATTGCATATTTCAAAATATGAATTTTATGTATACATATATTATTGAACTCGTGCACCTCAACCAGCATCCGACCTGCATTTGATACACAGATGTCCATACCTCATTTATTTAACAGCGATTAAATATGTTTTCAAGTTTTACATTTTTATTTTTAACAAAGTATGGATACACATTTTTAGAATTAAATAACTCGTCAGAAAATACCAAAAATATTTTGGAGTACACAAATTTCTCAGATTGTCATGCCTAAATACGCAGGACTTGATCACCAAACCCGGTAAAATCTACACACATTTCAAATCATTTCTCAGGTCTGGAAATTTATTTTGAGCTTTTGCGTAGAGTTCCAATTTTTCTGAAGGCTTCCAAACCCTGAGATCCAAAAATCGTCCAAAAATGGTAAATAGATTTCTTAAAAATTGGCAACTATTTGCTCAACAAATTAGGGAAAAAAATAAATTCAGAATTTTAAAATAAATTCCCAGAGCTAAGAAACGTGCTGCTTTTACCGATTTTGGCGACTCCAGCGTTATCTTGGTAACGACCTAATCTACATTTTTTTCTTGGCCACCCTCCCCCCACGATGAGTCTTCCTCACATGATCATTAAGAATATACCGTTTCCCAAACGCCTTCCCACACTCTTCGCACTTGAACGGCCTCTCCTCCGCGTGGCTGACCATGTGATTCGTTAAGTTAGTTTGACACCTAAACGCCCTCCCACAAACCTCACAAATGAAGTCCTTCGCCTCACTATGAACCCTTAAGTGATCCCGATAAGATCCCGAGGTGGATAATTGCTGCCCGCAAATTTCACAAGTTTTCTGCCGCGTCCCCTTATGCACGCGACAGATATGCGCGCGTAATGAAGCCCTCGTGCTAAACGATTTTCCACACGCGTCCCACTCGCAGGGAAAAGATTGGGCGCCGCCATCCTTATGGGCTCGCTCGACATGCACGATCCTCGCGTTAAAAGTGACGAACTTTTCGTCGCACGAGGAACACGGGAAGACGGCCTCGTTGTGCGTGGAGCCCATGTGTTGTAGCTTGCTCGGCACGTTGGGGAAGAGGGCGGGGCAGCCGGATACGTCACACGGGATGGTTTCTTCGCCGGTGTGGGACGTCGTGAGGTGTAGACTTAGGTCGTCCTTGGATTTAAATAAGGCTCTGGTGCAGACGAGGCAGTTATACGAATCTACAATAAATAAATAAATCGTCGATGGTATTCATTGTTCGTTCTTGTATGGTAAAATAATTTACGAGCAAAAAACAAGGGGCGAGCTTAGTAAAATGGGTGCGCAAAAAATGCTCAACCCAGATTATTTTTTTGACCACCTTACCTTCGTATATAATTAAACATTCAGTGAGAAACTTGCGTAGATGCAAAAATTTCAGCAATTTATGGGCGACGCCAGTCCAATTCCGTCGAAACTTTGGGGTTTTTCGCGAACCTGCAGCGCCGGCGCCCTTAACTTGCTGAAATTTTTGCATTTACGCAAGTTTCTCACTGAATGTTGTTTCCAAATGTTTGCTTTTTCAAATTAAATGAAGGTGATCAAAAATAATTTGGACTGAACATGGTTTGCGTCCACATTAGCCCACAATGTCATTTCTGGTGACAAAATCCGTCACTCCAAATCTTGTTAATTTTGCGATTAGATGAGTACTATTTTTATTTGTGAAGAAATCATGCATACCCTTATTGTCGTGAAGGAGAGAATGTGTCGCGAGGTGAGTTTCGCTCAAATGGAGGGAGCCGCACGTGGCGCACTTCCAGGTCAAGAGTTCGGGATGTTGTGATCTCTGATGTATCGCTAGTTTGACCCGATTCGGAAATTTGGCGTCGCAGAGAGAACACGGAAAAACTTTTGCTTCCTTGGTTTCAAGGAGAATGCATGATTTTTTGCTGTGGAGGTCCAACTGATCTTGAGTTTGGAATCGTTTGTCGCAACTTTGGCAGAAAAGTGGATATGTTTGATCAAATTTGGCATGGTTTGCCACGTGGCGTTCGTGCAGTTGCGAAATGGCGAACTTTTTTGGGCAGGTGGGGCACGACAACGGTTTTTCCGTGGCCAGGGTTTCATGTTGGGTTAGGAGGTGATCTAGCCAGGATCGTTCATGGGCAAAACCGATATCATTGGTGCAGTAGGGACACATGATTTTCTGTACTTTTCCGTGCACGTGGTCGACATGGAGACGAAGCTGAGTTGTGGCATTACTTCCGCGGAATAGTCTGTTACACGTGGGGCAAGGTAGGGGTGGAGGGAGTGGGGATTTTCGGGGGGCGCGGGGTTTTCTGACTTTGGGCGTCGGGATGGTTTCGGAAGTACCTGGAAATATTTAGGATTTAAATATTCGCAAAAATCGAAACCCACCCTCATCGTAATGAATACCCCCAATCAGGCCCCGTTTTAGGTATAGGCGAGCTAGGCAACCACCTAGGGCGCCAGATATTTGGGGGCGCCGGCAGGCGCCCCTATACACTAGATAAAAACGGCTTTGTGGAAGTTTATAACCTGTTATGGAAAACAACATAAAAAACTGACTTTAACTGAAGTCTGTGGTACAAAATTGTATTCTTCAGCACCGTTCTCAAATTTTAACTTGATAATCCTGCCAGATGAACTTGCGATTTTAATAATAAACTGCAATTTGTTCGTAACACCTACAGAAATGTGAAGTGGTAATCTCCGATTTTGGCAGGACTAATTTGAGAATAACGATCGGAAATAAACGGGCCCATATTTTTGCGCTTTCTAAAATGCGCATGTTTTCGCCTGTGGCGGAATTTGTAAATTAATTTTCAGCCGAAATCAAATAAAATTTTTACACGTTTTAAAAAAGATGTACAATTTGTGTTCTGAATTATTTCTCTGAAATTATAAAAATTAATTTCTTGCTTTCAATTTTCACAAATTAATGCTTTTTTTGCGTCGTTAAAGAAAAGCTCGTAGCATAAACATATCAAAGTTTCCAGATTTAGCAAATTAATTTTATAATTTCAGGTAATTCTACACAAAAAATTGGGATGATTTTTTTAATCAGATGAAATTGGAAAAATTAGAATCAGATCCAGGTATGTATATGTATGGTTGGTATATATATTGTTATCATTGGATTTAAAAAATTCCGACACATTCGCAATTCCCCACATTCTACAAAACCAAAAAATATGTGACCGATTATTTCTGAGTATGAACTAGGACTGACAAATCCGGACCCTCCGAATTCGAAAAACCCGGATTTTTCGGATTTCGGATACTTCGAAATCCGGATCTCATTTAGAGACGAATCCGGATTTCCCTAACTTAAAGATTCATATTTATTTACGATATAAAGATTCAAATCTTGGCGAGAAGTGTGAATTAAAAAAAATTAGCATGATACTCATTCAAATTTCCAAATATAGTTAGTTTATCATATCCGACATCAAACTCACTTAGGTATTTGAAATTCTAATTTTTTTCAGTTCATGAACTGAGAAAAATGCCCAGAAATTACCTGCATCGTCAGAAAAATTTCAGAAATATTGAAACTTCTAAAAAAGCTGAGATTGCAATTGAAATTAATAACTCTACTATCTGACATCTACATATCTGATTCGTTCAAATATCAAGGACATAAATAATGACAATAAGTAATTCACAAGATAAATGGATAATCCGAAATCCGGATTTGAAAATTGGGAACGGATTTGTCAGCCCTAGTATGAACAACTCAAAAACTATGATAATCGCGTGGAACCGGGAGATAACAACCTTACTTTCACCCATCCATTTTTATATGAATTTAGTTTTGAATAAGCAAAGCCTCAAAAAGTGAGAAATTTTGATTAGGCTTGTGTGCCTTAATAATATTCAATTTTTTACGAATTAAAAATACAAACATATTTAACTAAACTTATTTTAAAATGTTGATTTGTGTAAATGAAATTAGTACCAGTTTCGGTACGACTGTATACTAAGATGTAGATCGAGCGCCTATGCATAGGCGCTCCATCTACATCCTACTATGTTAACTTGCATCGTTCTCGAGCTATAGCTATGGCTCGAGAACGTAGGGGCGCAATTATCTTTTTGCCTAGGGCGACACATTGGCTAGAACGGGGCCTGCCCCCAATGTAAATTAATTATTAATTATTCTTGTACTTGTCGCCCGTTTAGGAGGTGGGGGCTTAATAGCTTGTTGTAAAGTAAATGTGTTGTCGGCCTGATCCTTGTCGTCGTGACCTTTCGATTCTTCCGGATCTGCAAAAATTATTTAGAAATTAACAAAAATTCAATCAATGTGCGTATTCAGAAACGTTCACAGCAATGAATGAGTTCGCATCGTTAGCAACGTTAACAAAAAAAGTTGACATGCAAATTTATTTGCAAACGTATGCTTAAGTATTTAACAATTATTTTGCGATACGAACTTGCCCCAAATGTGTATAATTTGTAAGTTAAGTATAGTAATTATTTTGTACTTGTGGCCGTTGTGGGTATTGTAGGGTCAAAACTTTGTATAGTAAATGTGTCTTCCTCCTCGTCGTCCTGACCATCGGGGTCAGGATCCACTTCGATTTTGCAAAAGAATTCGGATGGCTCGAATTCAGTTTCGGATTTGTATCCCTCTTCATCCTCCTCCTCCTTGATTTCAGGCCCAAGTAGATCACGGTGCATATTCTTTTAGGGTTTTGTTGGGTATGTGAGGGTTTTGTGTGGGGTGCTGAACCTTGTGTATTTCTGATAAATATTTTATACAGATTATGCATGTAAATACCCTCATTAAGAGAAAAATCATAGCCATCATTTTTAAGACGGATATAACTCAAGGGCAAGCCTCAATGTAAAATTTGGGATGACGGACACTCGCTAAACCCACGTCTTTTAGCTGCTCAAAATTTCATTCTATTCGATTGAGTGTAAAAGTAGTATATAATCCGAGTGTAAAAGTTGCAGTGTCACTAAATCTCGCCCCTAGCCCGCTTTGGCAACACATATTTAAACATTATATTTCACGACGTGGTCTGCTCCAGCCATCCTTCTCCTCCTTATTAAATTTTTGCACTTCAGCAATGTTTTCAGTAGTTAAGTTTCTTGAGGATAAGTCCGTACAAGCCGTTCCTTCCAGTTGGGTTAGCCAGGACAAGAAGACTTGTTTATGGCCACCAGGATTGCCATCATCTGTCTCGGCCTCTATTAAAAGGCGCACAGAGCCGGAGAAACACTGGACGACAAATTCAATTAAGTTTTACAAAGTTGCAGGTGGGTTATTTTATTTAAATACATTAATACAATTTTGATAAATTACACGTTAGATAAATAATAATAACATACCAGTAACAAGTTTCAATGAATATTTAGATTCCCTCAAAGAAGCTAAAAGATTCGAGTTGGACGCGACCGCCGACAAGGTATTGGACACAACAGATGCCGAGGACATTGTATTGAAGAGAAAAAATTCGAGTACCAAGCCAGTTCTCCCAATTAAGCGTCATAAGTCAACTCATTCGAAAGAATCCACCTCTTCCGATAATGATGATGAGTTATCCTCAGATAACGAGACTAGTTATGGATCAAGGAATTTAGAAATAAGTAACGACTGCAATATTTTCTCTCAAGCAGGTAAGTAAAGATTTCGATTAGATTTTTTAATTAATCGTAATTTTCCTTATTTGACCTCCTAATTTCATACAGTACATGCATAATGACTTATTTTATTGTTTACAGAACTGTACAGTGCCAATTCAGAAGCTCAAAACTTCTCCACGTCTTCCTTTCCAACATCAAAGTATACCCAAGGTTCCGGGGAAAAGTTGGGAGAAAGTGGGGGCACTTTGATTTCCGCTGGTCCAGATAATCACTCTCTTGGATCCTCTCAATTTACTCCATTGGTCGAGGGAGACAATTTCATTCCTACTTCTGGTTTGTCCACCCCAAAATCAAGCCAACTCTCATCTGGCTTAATTCATCGCCGCAGAAACATTCGAGAAACTGGTTGGGTTTTAGTCATAATTATTTAGGAGCAACATGATAATTTTATTTTTATTTCAGAATCCTTTGAAGAGGTTGTTCTTCGAAAATTGAGCGAAATTCAATCAGATATTCGAGTGTTATTTTCCCGTTTAAGCTCACACCAAATTGAAACCAACACAATTGATTTACCGGTCGTTCTGCCCTTAAATGACGAAGAAAGCGTTGATGAATTGGAGGCGTGGATTGAAACAGATTCAAACAGGAGATCTTTAGTAAGATAAAATTAAATGCTTATATTTACATATTTATCTTTGCTTAAACATTTGTTTAAAATTATCGATTTTCATTATGTTGTTTAGGTTAAGTATTTATCAAGCCTTGGAGGAAGAAAACCGGAAAAAATCGTATCTCGAATACTCTCCGAACTTTTTACACCACCACTTGCAAGAAGGTTTAATTACAGTGGGGGAGGCTCGCTTGGGCGACAGGCATTTTCAGTTTTGAAACTGAAGATAGTATTGATTGGTAAATTATGTAACATAAATATACTATTTATAAATTTATTAATTTAGATTCGGAAAGTATGAACACAGCTTTATTTGTTATTGATATAGATGCAACCAAGCTGAATAGAATTGCAAGTGATACAACAGTAGATGCGATCGAGACAACGATTAAAAACTGGTTCAGGAACGCTCGGGATAAAGGGGAAGGTGGCGGAAAAAGAAAAAATGTATCAACGACAAAGAAGGGATATTCGAAAGGAGGTTCAGGAGCTGCTTCAAAACATGACGCCACGCCTTTCACACAATGAAGACTCGCCAAGTTTTGATATAGTTTATGTAAATAATTGTATTAGTAACGGATTAGAATTCGACGGATCCAGCAATTCAACCTCAGATTTAGAATTGATTAGTAGTAACGAATTAGAAAAGGCTAACCTAGCAAAACAGTTAAAAATTTGGAGTCTCCAAAATAACATTACTCACTCTGCATTATCAGAGCTGCTTCAAATTTTAATTCCCTATGTTTCGTGTCCCCTGCCGAAATGCTCTAAAACTCACCTCGCCACTCCTAGGGTTATTAGCATTGTTGAAATTGGCGGTGGAAAATTATATAATTTTGGTTTGCAAAAAATTGTAGAATCTGAAATTATAAATGGACTAATTGATTGCGATTTCCCATTAGTTCGAAAATTAGTTTCAGAATTTAATACAAATGAGAAAAAAATGTTAACACTTTCAGTTAGCACAGATGGTATTCCAATTGGTGAGAGCAATGGTGTGCAATTTTGGCCTATTTTGATACGATTAGATCAGGGTAAAAGTAGGGAGCCCCGTCTTGTTTCATTATTTAGGGGCGAAAATAAGCCAAGTTCTATTTCCGAGTTTTTTAAATATTTTGTGGAAGAAGTTAAATTTTTGCAAGATGTAGGGTTTACATATAATTCGGTACAATATTTTGTTAAAATAAGTGCCGTAATTGCTGACGCGCCAGCTAGAAGTTTTGTTAAAGCCGTAAAAGGTCATACTGGTTATCACAGTTGTGAGCGCTGTGAGGAAGAAGGAGACTATTTGGAGAATAGGATAGTATTTTTGGGCTCAAATGCCAATTTAAGGACAGACATTTCCTTTATTAACAAAGTAGATTCTGATCATCATATTGGCAACTCCCCGTTAATAGATTTAAATTTAGGCTTAGTCTCGCAAGTAGTATTAGACTACATGCACCTAATATGTCTTGGAGTGATGAGAAAACTGTTTTACATATGGGAGAAGGGTGGGCTTCCTAATCGACTTCCATCTCGTGAATGGAATAAATTATCAGATAACTTGGTGTCTGTTAGTAAATTTGTTCCTTCAGAATTTACAAGAAAGCCAAGAGGTCTGAAACATTTACATCGCTACAAAGCCACTGAGTTTAGGCAATTTTTGTTATACGTTGGGCCAGTAGTTTTGAAACCAATCCTTTCAACAAAACTGTATAAGCATTTCCTGCTGCTTCATTCCGCCACATTTATTCTATTGTCCAACAAATCTCATTTACCGTTATGGAATGAAAAGGCTAGGTCTTTTTTAAAAATATTTGTCGATTTAATGGGAGATTTGTACGGGATTTCCACAATGTCCTATAATGTACATAGTTTGTTGCATGTAGCAGATGATAGTTTAAACTATGGGAATTTGGATAATGTGTCTGCATTTCCATTTGAAAATTACCTTCAGAAATTGAAGCGTATGGTCAGAGGGAAGACACGAGAGTTAGAGCAGGTAGTGAAAAGAGTCACAGAAAAAGAGAGCTTTAATTTTCTGACTTCAAATCGGTCAAAGTTTAAGCCTAAAATTCGTAATGATGCGTATGTAAAAATCTATACTAAAACTAATATTGTAATTACTTGTAACAAAGGTGATAACGTATTTTTGTTATCATCGGGAGAAATTGTAAAGGTGACCGAAATTTTGAGCTCTGATAGTTTAATGTGTCAAGTTTTTGTTTCTAGAAAGGTAGCAAAATATTATCCACTAGATAGCTCGGAGTTGATGATAGTCATAATAGATATATCTAAGTTAAGTTTGCCTAAATTAGTAAGCCTTGACGAAATTATTGTAAAATATGTATTTCTACCAATTCCAAACAACCAAAATTTCTTTTGTATACCTATGGTAAAAATGAGCTTGGAATAAATAAATAAAACTTTGAAATTTTGCGTACAATTTTGCGTATTTATTGGGGGATTTGCTTATCGTATTATAATTTAGGGAAACGCAGGGGTGGAACGAGTGGAATACACGCATAGAATGCATGTAACTGATGAATTTGTAGCAGAATTATATGCGTGGGTTACACGATGAAATTGTGAGGGTGTTATCGCGTATAACCCACTGCGTCGTGATTTTCACTTTACAACGTGTTTTAGAGAATTTTTGTACACGTCTAAAACGCACGTAACCCACATAATTTTTCTGCCTGGGGGTGTTTCGGGAACATCCTCAACTTTCTTCTTCGCTTCTAAATAATAAATAAAAATAAAAATATGTCAAAGTACGAAATATTTATCGCTATCATTTCACATTTGAGAAGCAGCATAATGCTAAATAAATTTCGAAATCTGCCCAATTTGGCAAAATTTTGGAACTTGTAACTGTTTAACTCACCAGAAGCCTTTCATTCATATATATGACTATTATTATTATTGATAAATTAATTCATGCACGTATAATATGATTAGATTAGAACTATAAACTAATCAGTAATTAATTAGAATTGCGAACAAGTCACACAATTTTAAATTCTAGAAATTAATTACAAATTACAAATTGTACCCAATTCGTAACTCACCTTTCGCAATCCTTTCCCTAATCCGTTCAACAATTTCGGTTTGTTTTCTAATTAAGAGACTCAATTCAGAAATTAATTTTAAACAGTGATCACAATTATTCCAGCTCGAAATTTCTTTAGATATTTGTGAATTTTGTAGAAAAATGGCACTCTTTCGCAACAATTCACATATCTGGTGAGAATATTCCACTTTTAGGGAGACAATCGGTGTATCAGAAACACCGCAAGTGTAACAATTAACCCGATTTTGAAAATTATCCATTTTTATTTATTTTTAAAAGAATAATTTTATTTTTATTGATTTTTATTTTTTAAAGCAGATGAGTTTATTTGGTTCCCGCTTGCCCGGAATCGCACGAACAAAGAAGTATGCGATGTTGGCAAATATTTCCATGCATGTTTTTGGTTTATGAAAATATTTTCATAATAAATAGAAGTTTTTAATAAATATAGACAATGTTTTCATGAAATCTTAACATTAGCAATAAATAAAGTTGAAAAATGACTTTGCGAACTTGCCCATCCCAAAAGTTCGCATTTTGTTTTCAAAATATGTTGCGATATAAACTTGGAAGGAATACCAATTGAAATGCTTAAATTCTATCTGTAATTAATTGACTATTTATTCGAACAATTTGCAAGACAACTTTTATTAAATGTTTATTTTGTTCACACATAGTATTACCCAACAGACTATAAAGACGTTCATGGGGACGGGGTGGACTAACAACAGTCGAAGAAAAAATTTTTGAAATCCTACAAGGACCACACCCATCATGAAGGCGCTGAAGGATGGAATCCGAAGAAATTCACGAAATTCCAACGGAAACCAACCTCACAGCTGCCAGTGTAGAATCAGATTATTCAATGAGTGCTTAAATTGAACCTTAGACTTAGGACTTTGAAATGTGGTACTTGCCACATGCCGACCATCCCCCAAAGGGAAACCAGATTAAAGAAACCCAGGAGTGACTTCAAGCGGTACGCTCAGAAAAAGTGACGAGGATTCTATTTACAGATGAGGAGATTTTCACATAGGAAAAATATTTTAACAAGCGAGTTGGCCTTATCTACGCCAAATCTGTCAGACATCCCCCAATATAGACAGAAGGTCAGAAAGCCACATTATCCAAGCTTTGTGGTGATTTTGGCAGGTGGGAACTAATTGGGGCAATTTCTCTACATTTTGTTGAAAATGGGGGGAAGGTGGGGGGATCAAATTTCTTAAAATACGTTTTCGAGTCCGCGGTACATCCCCTAAGTGAGATCCAATTCATTGAAGTCGACTGGACCTTGCAGTAGGACTAGGAATCAGCTTATAGTGCAAAAAATGACCCAAGCGTGGGTAAAAAACAAAATTCCGAACTTTTCCTCCTCTCGGAAATGGTAATTCTACTTTCTGGATTTGAATCTCCGGATTATGAAAAATGGTCAAAGTTAGGGGCAAATGTGTGTTCTAAGCCTCGTAGAAGTGTAGGGATCGGAAAAAAATTTTTGACCACGGAATGGAACACTTTGCCCAGGAATTAGTGCGTGCTTCAGCGGAGAACTGCAGGCGGTTTCCTCAGCGCTGCATTAATGGCAGGGGAGGAAATTTCGAAAACTAAAAATTGTTTTCTACTCAGAAATTAACTGGCTTTCGGTTAAAATTAACTCGAAATTCGTAACATAAAAACTGTTGAAGCCACAGGGTTTCATTTCACTTACAGTTTCAGTGGGCCACCTAGTAAATGCATTTTTGGTGAAAGGAAATTAATAGTTTTGTTGACCTCATTCGTGGATTCACCGAATGTACATCATTTTTTGGATCGGCTATTTCAGAGGAAAATATTGAACTACTTATTCTGAGTTGTATGAAATAATTCAATAAAATAATGCCAATTCAACATATTACTGAAATAAAAAACTGCACATTTTTAAATATGTATGAAGTTTGTACATATGTGTGTATGTGTATGAATTATTTAACTCGTGTACTTCAACCAATATCCGAGCTGTATATATATATGTCCTTCATTTATTTAACACCGATTAAATATTCATACATATTATTTTGGCATTTGTATTAAAAAGTATGGATACACATTTTTAGAATTAAATAACTCGTCAGAAAATACCAAAAATATTTCCAACTACACAAATTTCGCAGATTGTCATGCCTAATAACTAAATACGCAGAACTTGATCACCAAAACCGGTAAAATCTACACACATTTCAAATCATTTCTCAGGTCTGACAATTTATTTTAAACTTTTGCGTAGACTTCCAGTTTTTCTGAAGGTTTCCAAAAACTATACAATTTAAAAAAATGGCAACCACCTGCTCAAAAAATTAGCCGTTCAGAATTTCAAAATAAATTCCCAGACCGGAGAAGTAATTAATTAAAAATGTGCTGCTTTTACCGATTTTTGCGTTATCTTGGTAACCACCGAATCTACAATTTTTTCTTGGCCACCCTCCCCCCACGATGCGTCTTCTTCACATGATCATTAAGGATATACCGTTTCCCAAACGCCTTCCCACACTCTTCACACTTGAACGGCCTCTCCTCCGCGTGGCTGACCATGTGATTCGTTAAGTTATTCTGAACCATAAACGCCCTCCCACAAATCTCACAAATGAAGTCCTTCACCCCGCTATGAGTCTTCACGTGATACCGATAAGACTCCAAGCTAGACAATTGCTTCCCACAAGTTTCACAAGTTCTCTGACTAGTCCCCTTATGCACGTGGCTCACGTGCCTCCCCAACGCGGCCTGAGTCGTGAACACTTTCCCACACGCGTCCCACTCGCAGGGAAAAGATTGGGCGCCGCCATCCTTATGGGCGCGCTCGACATGCGCAATCCTCGCGGATAAAGTGACGAACTTTTCGGGGCACGAGGAACACGGGAAGACGGCCTCGTTGTGCGCGGAGCCCATGTGTTGGAGCTTGTTCGGCACGTTGGGGAAGAGGGCGGGACAGCCGGAGACGCCACAGGGGATGGTTTCCTCCCCGGTGTGGGACGTCGTGAGGTGTAGACTTAGGTCGTCTTTTGATTTAAAGAAGCCCCTCGTGCAGACGAGGCAGTCGTAAGAATCTAAATTATAAAGGGTATTCATTATTTCTTTAATATCGTGAAATAATTTATGACGAAAAAATAAAAAATAATGTCAACTTGCGAAGTTTTGCTGGAAAACCATGGGATTTTTGGCAAATTTACCCAGCAATTTCGGAAGATTATTGGACAAACTCATCCTCACCATCACCAGCAAAACAAAGAACAGAAACCCGTGGAAACAATATCAAAATAGGTGTTTGTGGTAGATTTGCGACATCATAATCCCCCTAATTTTTTACCTTCGCAAGTTTGCCAAATGTCTCGCTACATATGGGACAGTGTCGTGAATACACTCAAAGTCTTGTAACCGTCGTAACGCAATATAAAAAAATAAAGATACGAAGGAATCATGAATACCCGCATTGCCGTGAAGAAGGGAATGTGTCGCGAGATGAGTTTCGCTCAAATGGAGGGATCCGCACGTGGCGCACTTCCACGTCAAGAGTTCGGGATGTTTCGACCTCTGATGTATCGCGACTCTGGCCCGGCTCGGAAATTTGGTGTTGCAGAGAGAACACGGAAACACTTTTGCTTCCTTCGTTTCAAGGAGGGGGCATGATTTTGTGCGGTGGAGGTCCAACTGATCTTGCGTTTGGAATCGTTTGTCGCACCTTTGGCAGAAAAGTGGATACTTGCCGTCAAATTTGGCATGGTTTGCCACGTGGTGTTCGTGCAGTTGTGAAATGGCGAACGTTTTTGGGCAGATGGGACACGACAAGGGTTTTTCTGGGGTCAGGGTTTCGTGCTGTGTGAGGAGGTGATCCAGCCAGGACCGTTCTTGGACGAAACCGATAATATTGGTGCAGTAGGGACACATGATTATTTTAGGTTTTCCGTGCACGTGGTCGACATGGAGGCGAAGCTGAGTTGTGGCATTACTTCCGCGGAATAGTTTGTTACACGTGGGGCAGGGTAGGGGTGGAGGGAGAGGTGATTTTCGAGGTGGGCGAGGTTTTTTTACTTTGGGCTGTGGGATGGTGGGGGGACCTGAAAATAGTTCGAAGTTATATTAGCAAAAATCTAGCTTTATACTTCGGGCGTAGTCGTGATCGTAACTCGGTTAACAAATTTGTGCAGTTCTAAAAATTTGTTTCGATTCGCAAATTTATAAAAATTCATATTTTGATATTGCTTCCATGAGCTTTTGTAATTTCTCTTGCTACTGATGGTGAGGATAAGTTGGCGAATTAATTTTGGAAAATAAAACCGGCCCACTTCGCGGGGTAAATTTGCGAAAAAATAACACATTCTTCCATCCAGAGTTAACTTCGTATACTCAGTTTGCGACCGTTGTCGAGAGTACGCAGTTCATAAATGTATAGTTATTAATTACTTGTCGCCCGTTTGATAAAAGTACCAGATGCGGGGTCAAAAACTTCTAAAGTAAATGCTGCTTCCTCGCTTTCTACAAAGTTACAATTTTTTAGAAAAAATCCGCTATTTATCGTTTTTCATACTTAATTAGCAATTACTACGTACTTGTCGCCTTTTCGGTGAGAGTGAGCAGTGGAGGGTCAACAATTAATAAAGTAAATGTGTCCTTGCCCTCTTTGTCGGGACGTTTCGATTCTTCAAGTCCTGTAAAAATATACATATACAATTTAGATGCTAAATTCCAAAAACCTGGGTTATGTATCAATGGGGGTATTCATTTCATACGCACGAGTTTCGCATTCACACCCATTTTTGCTTGAAATTACATTTGCGAACTAATATGTAGTTGGCAATTTTTGTTCAAACTTATTTTGCGAATCGCAGCTTGCGATGCGATCTCGTAATGAATACCCCCAAATGTTCAATTAGTAATGTTTACTTGTCGTTTTCGCCCGTTTAGGAGGTGGGGGTTTAAAAGTTTGTATAACAAAGGTGTCCTTCTCCTCGTCGTGAGTACGTTTCGATCCTTCGAGTCCTATGCATACATAAATACAAATTAGATTTTATTATCAAAAACAGGGTAATTTATAAATTTCGGGGGTATTCATTCCGTATTTACGGGCTCGCTTCGTCAGCTACATAAAAACAAAATTTGTAAAAATTTTGGCTTCCAATTTTTTTTTGCAAACGTGCCCGTGTAGTATTTAGTTTGCATTTTTTTGTCAAATCAAAACTATGCTGCGAAGCGAACATCAGAACTCGTAATGAATACCCCGAACGTTTATAATTTGCAAATTAGTAATGTGTACTTGTCGCCAGTCGTTTAGGAGGTGGCGGGTCAAAAATTTGTGAATTTAAGGTGCTGTCCTCCTGGTTCTTGTCGTCGTGACTTTTCGATTCTTCCAGACCTGTAAACATTATTTAGAAATTATTACCAACAAATTGAAGCTTTTGTAAGCTAATTAGTAATTATTTTCTACTTGTTGTGGCCCCATTCGGAGTTGGGGGGTCAAAAGTTTGTATAGTAAATGTGTCCTCGTCTTCATCATCCTCCTCTTCGTTGTCCTGACTTATCGATTCTTCGGCGTCAGGATCTACTTCAATTTTGCAAAAAAATTCGGATGGTTCGAATTCTGTCTCGGATTTGTATCCCTCTTCTTCCTCCTCCTCTTCCTCAAGCTTGATTTCAGGGGCTTCGGAAACATTCTCGACTTTCTTCTTCGCTTCTAAATAAATAAAAATAAAAATATGTCAGAGTATAAAATAGATTTATCGTAATCATTTCACATTCGAGAAGCAGATTTTCATAAAAAATTGATTATTACGACGACCAAATCTTAATTAACATCGCAATTTAGCTTATATAGTTTCAGAACACAAGATTAATTAAAACCAGGTTAAACAAATTGCGAAATTCGCCCAATTTCGCAAAATTTTAAAACTTGTAACTGTTTTACTTACCGGAAGGAAGTCATTCATACAGATGGATATTATTATTATTAAGTAATTAATAAATGTATAACTAATTAAAAGTAATTAATTAATTAGAATTACAAATTATGCGAAATCAAAAATTTTCTAATAAAATTAAAAATTGAACCCCGTTCTCGGCTCACCTGTCGCAATCCTATCCTTAATCTGTTCCACAATTTCGGCCTGTTTGCTTATTAAGAGACTCAATTCAGAAATTAATTGTAAACAGTGATCACAATTATCCCAAGTTGAAATTTGTTCGTTTATTTGTGAATTTTGTAGAAAAATGTCACTCTTTCGCAACAATTCGCATATCTGGTCGGAATATTCAACCTTTAGGGAGACAATTGGCTCATCTGATACACCGCAAGTGTAGCAATTAACCCGATTTTGAAAATTGTCCATTTTTATTTATTTACAGAGCAATTTTATTTTTACTTATTTTTATTTTTTAAAGACTGCGAAAACAGATGAGCTGAGAGGCACGAGTTTATTTGATTCCCGCTTGCCCGGAATCGCACGAACAAAGAAGAATGCGATGTGTGTATGAAAATATTTCTATAATAAATATAAGTTTTCATGACGATGTTTTCATGAAATATTAACATTAGCAAAAAACAAAGTTGAAAAATGGCTTGAAAATTCCTTTGGGAACTTTCCCATCTCCAAAGTTTGTATTTTATTTTCAAAATTATGTTGAACGATGAATGAACAAAGGATGTGATGCATGTTTATTTGTGTATGAAAAGTCATTAAGTTTTCATGACGTGGATAGTTTTCATGACGTTTTTATTCTAATAATATGACAAATAACCACGGTATTCATTACGAGTTCGCAAAAACTAACAAAGTTGGCAAAAAAATATTGGTCAATAATTTCTACCCAATTTTACATACAAGTTTCATCAAAATCCACAAGTTCAGGGAAATTGCAAGCTTTAATGACTGGATCGAAAAGTAGATCTTCCGGACAACTCATCTCAGTCAAGACTTCTCTCTGGCAACGAATGTATTTTGCACAGTCGAAGGGATGCGGGTAGTTTCCGTCCACCTTTCCAACACAGGACAACTCTTCCGGACAAAGTGTGGTCAAATCGATGTACCAAATTCCATCTACTGTCGTCCCATTTGGGGAAGTTTGGTAGGATGTTCGTCGTCCAATGAAGTAGATCCTGTTTAGCTTTTCGACATAAACTGCCGTCGTCATATCGAGGAGTTGGGTCCCGCTGGCGGGAAAGTTGGAGACAGGATGTAGCCTAATTCTCATTGTGTCAGGATTAAATTGGCCAATGGTGCTGGTGAAATGACCCGCCGAATCGTTCCCGTATCCACCAAGGACGTACCCATGTTTCCCGTCGAAAACGGCGGCGGGTTTTCCGTATATGAAAGGGATCGTTTCCGGACCAAGGGTGACGGCTAAAGTTGACAGGTTTACTCGTGCCTAGGGATGTGCAATGGCAGTATTAAGAATGGTATAAATGTTCTAAATATCATGTCATATTTGTCCATTGTCCATCATCTTTGATAAGGAATAAATAGTTTGAGAAATATAACATGTCATAAATGTCTAATGATAGAAGAGTTGGATCTGGCTACATTTACATGAAAAGTTGTTTAACAAAAGAATTTGTTAATGGCACTATAAATATTGTTTTGTCATAAATGTCAACCGACACATGTCATTTATTTGGTTGTTGGCAAGTTATAAATGTCACAAACGCTGACACAAACAATAAAGTCTGACAAATATGCCATAAATAAAACTTTTTTTGGCAAATACGACATTTTGACATATAATACAGTGTTTCGTTTCTTGCGGGTTTTTCTCATTTTTTGCACTGCAAAGCAAGAAATGCAAGAAATGCAAGGTGCAAGAAATACAAGAAAGTGCAAGAAACACAGCGCCATCTAGCGACGCGCCTTCAGAACTATGGCGGCGGGAAGGAGTTTCTTGCACTTTGCATTTCTTGCGGGTAAAAATAGCTGCAAGAAACCAATGGGGGTGGGGGTGGGGGTGGATTTGATGGGGGTGGGGGTGGATTTAGGTGGGGGTGGTGGTGGTTTTATAAATGCCGTTCATCGGACCACAATCTCTCACCCTTGAGATGTGTGCGGGGGGATAAACGAGATTTCTACTGAAATTGAATCAATAAATGAAATTAAGTATTCTCACACTGCTTGGGGTGAAGTGAGACTGAGGCTACTTCGATATGTGCGTTTTCTACCGTTTATCTTAAATTATTAATATATCGATAAAGCTGCTGATAAGGGAAAAGTTAATTATGTTAATGGTTCAAATGAAGTACTTACGTATGCATGACGTTCAGTCCTGTTTGTGTGTATGGTACAAGGTACGAGTATTACAAATTATGCACTCTGTCACATATTTACAACTATGATGGACACACGTGTTAAAGTGGTTACCTTGTAAATACTTTTTATCATGGTGGTATTTCCAACCATAAATAAATACTTAGGTTGCGAAATACGTACATATACGTATTTCATCGATGAGAATTGGTTGATGCAGGGATAAATCTGACTGGAATGAAATTTTGTAGTTGATTTGAGCATTTGATTTAGTATACTAAATCTAGTCCTAAGCTTATTATCCGCGCGCTATTACTTGTCCCCGGCTCATACACAAATTAACGGTGTCTACAACACAGTCAGTATACACGCTCTACACTCTACAACACGGGAGAGTACACCGTTAATTTGTGTATGAGCCGGGGACAAGTAATAGCGCGCGGATAATACCAACTTAGGATTAGGAGCGTTCGTGTGAAAATATTATCCGGAGATAACGAATTGATGTATTCAGAATAAATTTTCATGAAAACTAGATAAACCAAGTTTATTAAACTTATCAATTACACAGATACTTACATAACGCTTATTTGTTGCTTGAGAATTTAATGTAAACCTCCTTAATTCGCAATCTCTCGAACATCCACCAATTTTAAATACAAGTCTCATCACAATCCACGAGTTCCGGAAAGTTACAAGCTCCAATGGCTGGGTCGAAGTGTAACCCCTCCGGACAGATCATCTCCGTCAAGACTTCGCGTTGACAACGAATGTACTTCGCACAGTCGAACGGATGCGGGTAGTTTCCATCCACCTTTCCCACACAGGACAACTCTTCAGGACAAAGCGTCGTACTGGATGGCGGTATCGGCGTGGTAGTCGAAGTTGTGGTCGTTGGCCTAGTAGTTGTGGTCGGTCTGGTCGTCGTTGTCGGACGCGTCGTCGTCGTTGGGGTTAAGGGAGACAAGTCAATGTACCAAATTCCATCAAGCGGCACATCATCTCCCACACCGTATGTCCGTCCCCCAAAGAGGTAAATCCTGTTCAGCTTGGAAACATAAACCGCCGTCGTCAAATCGAGGACATTGGTCCCATTAGCGGGAAAATTGGCCACAGGAAGTAACGTAAGTCTCATCGTGGCGGGATCAAATTGGCCAATCGTGTTGGTGTAATGACCCGCCGAATCGTTCCTATATCCACCGAAGACGTATCCATGCTTCCCGTCCCAGACAGCGGCGGGTTTTCTGTACATGCGGGGGACGGTTTCCGGGCCGCGGGTAACGGCTAGAGTTGCTAGGTTTACTCGTACCTAGGGATGTGCAATGTTAATATCAGGACAGTTCTAGTTTTCAGTGTCATGTCATAGTTCGCTGTGAAAAGTCTGATAAATACAGTATGACATGTCATAAATGTCAGAGCATAAAGGTAATATGTAGAGTTTGAAGTGGCCATCTGCTGGCCGAATTTGATAGGTTGTGGAGTAAGAAATAATTACTTTTTGTAGCGTTACAAATATTGTATTTGTCATAAATTTCATACATGTCAACCCACGAATATGACACCAAGTTATAAATGTCACACATTGACATGAACAATAAACCCCTGACAAATATGAAAATATCTGACAAACAAATACGACACGCACATCCCTACTCTCTTACCACGGAATACTCCGGTTTCGTCACTCCAACCTCACTTCCGAATATGAACGCGGATCCGTTCCCATCCGAGATGGCGGTCATGGGGAGATAAGCGACGGATAAGTTGCCCACCACCACAGCACCAATGTCTGATCCCATGTAGTAGGACGCGACCGTTTTCGTATTGGTTGAGGACCCCATTAAATAAACAATGTCATACGTGGGACCAAGTGGTATGGCGGCGTGGTAATAATCTGTCGATGGGAGGGTCGCCATGTGCACGATTTCGCCACTAGAAGGAATGAATTTGTGCACATTACCGTAGTAAAATATGTTCCCGGTGTAGATGTAAATATTTCCAGCGGAGTCGATCGAGGTTGTCGCTGTGTTTGAAATGACTTCCAGGGCTAGCGAGGCGACCCGGGTGATGGCGTCGGTCGATATCTTGTAGGCTAGGATGTCCTTCACGCCCAGCTGGGAATAAGCGTCGCTCCCTCCGACAATGTAGATCGTATCGTCACCATCGTACACGGATGAGCAGCTATATCTTCGACTTGGTAGAAGGGCGTTCGCCTTAACGGCGACCAGTTGTTGGGCGAACGAGACTGGCAAGAGGGCAGATACTGTCAGCAGTGCAATTATTTGTGCTTTGGAAGGCAGCATTTTGAAATTGGGTGTAAAGTGGGACAGGTTGTAGGTCGTTACTGGTTGAACGAGAGAAGCAGAATGGACATGCATACCTTAGTGTGTGCAAGTGTCATAAATAAACTTATCTTAAATTGTTAATATGTCGATTAAACCACTGATAAGGGCAAAGTTAATTATTTTAATGCTTTAAATCAAGTGTGACATTCTTCCCTGTATGTTTACATACATAGTGGAATATACGAATATTGCAAAATTAAAATATGTACTCTCTCCCGTAAGTATAACTCTGTATGAATGGCACGAGTTAAAGTGGTTGATGTCAGTATAACTGTTTGTATCTAAATATGGCACCTTGAACTTTTTATCATGGTGGGATTTTCAACTATTAATACTTACATAAATTGCGAAATATATGTACATATTTATATATTTCGTTGATGACAATTGCATCAAATTCCTGTAGTAAGAAAATGTAAAGGTATGTGCAAATATTGGCAATGGACAAATTAAAATTGGTCCTGTCCAAATCATGAGGGCAGCCGTTGACACCTTTAGGCAGTAGGGACCGTTTGTAAAATATGGAACAAAATTTACGTTACAGAAACTATTAAACTATTAATTCGCCAGAAAATCATTGGACTAATTAAATGTGCAATCCAAGTCTTAAAATGAATTTAAGGAAAGTCAACCTCAAAGACGTGAGTTTAAAGGAATAGCGTCACACAATTATTTCTGCGTAATACCAAAATGCCAGACATGATTTGCATGCATAAATAAACATGTAGCTGATTTTATAATGATGTAATTTTAATTAACGAGTCAATTACAAGCAACATTTTTTTTGGCTCGTGTGCAAATACTTTGATACAAAACAATTTCTACAGGCGTATACAAATATCTGTTGATTGTATCTTATCAATGAAGGGCCGTCCATAAGTTACGTAATCGAGAGGGGGGAGGGGCGCCTAATAAGGGTCGAATGATATCGTGACTATGTTGCACATGTTAAAGAAAGGAGGGGGCTAGAAAATGGCGATTTTTTCGTTCCGTAATTTATGGACCGCCCCTAGCATGAACAAAACACACGATGTGTTAAGTTAATTCGTCCAGATTTTCCTATACATATATTTGAAAACTTGTAACTCAAAGTCGGTTAAAACTTGGGTTATACTGGCGAACGGTATGATTCTCATGATTAGGACTTATCTTCATTCTTCGCATGGAAAAATTTAAAAGAAAAATATTAACTTGTAAGGAAGTTATGCTTAAATATTGGTATATCGGGACGAATTAAGTCAACACCCTTTAGAATATTTAGTCATTTTCATACCTATATACCTATGTATGTATGTACATACGTAGATACTATTCGTTTTAGACTCTCCATCCACCCAAAAGAGCTTTGGATCAAGCAAGTCCGACGTCAAAAAAAGGCGTCCAGGCACGACGTCCAAAAATTATGTTAGCCGAGTGAGCCGAATTATCCTATTATTTAACACCAGTTTATTTTATTTTGGCGTTCAAATTATTCAATTCGTGTCAAGAATTTGGGTAATTGAATGATTTCCACGCCAAAATAAAATAAACTGGTGTTAAATAATAGGATAATTTGGCTGACTCGGCTAACATAATTTCTGGACGTCGAACCTGGACGCCTTTTTTCGACGTCGGACTTGCTTGATGCAAAGCTCTTTTGGGTAGATGGAAAGTCTAAAACGAATAGTATATTCTATGTTTTTTAATAGTAGCCCTAATTGGGAATTAAGGGTTTTGACACTAAATTATCACATAACCGCCAAGTTTCTCATTTGCGCTATTGATAAATTTTGCGGTCGCAAGAAAATATTATCCTCAGATTATGAATTCAAATATTTACAATCAATTTCTAGGAAAAATAAACCTATCAAATACACAAATACCTACAGAAGACTTCCTCTTTGGTTTGCTAAGTGAAAATACCCTTAATTCGCAATCTCTCGAACATCCACCAATTTCTAAACACAAGTCTCATCACAATCCACCAGTTCAGGAAAGTTACAAGCTCCAATGACCGGGTCGAAGTGTAATCCCTCCGGACAAATCATCTCCGTCAAGACTTCACGCTGACAACGAATGTATTTCGCACAGTCGAACGGATGCGGATAGTTTCCATCCACCTTCCCAACACAGGACAACTCTTCCGGACAAAGCGTCGTACTTGATGGCGGTATCGGCGTAGTAGTCGAAGTTGTGGTCGTCGGCCTGGTAGTTGTGGTCGGTCTGGTCGTCGTGGTTGGTCGCGTCGTCGTCGTTGGGGTTAACGGAGACAAATCAATGTACCAAATTCCATTAAGCATGGTAGCATTTCCGATAGTTTGGTATGACGTTCGTCCCCCAAAGAAGTAAATCCTATTCAACCTGGAAACATAAACGGCGGTAGTCAAATCGAGCAGATGTGTTCCACTTGCGGGAAAGTTGGTCACCGGAAGTAGCGTAATTCTCATCGTATCGGGATCAAATTGGCCAATCGTGTTGGTGTAAAAACCCGCCGAATCGTTCCCGTATCCACCGATGACGTACCCATGCTTCCCGTCCCAGACAGCGGCGGGTTTTCCGTACATGTACGGGACAGTTTCCGGACCCAGGGTGACGGCTGCAGTTGGCAGGGTTACGCGTGCCTAGGGATGTGCAATGGCAGTGTCAATAAAGTTCATGGTACAAACGTCATGCAAGGTCATATTTTTCAGATGTATGTCATATTTGACAAGGTTGTAAAAAAATGACAAATGCGACATTCATGCCAGACCAATATTAAATGCCATAAATGTCAAAATTTTCGTAAATGTCGACCGAAACTTCCTTGGCTACCGGCAATTTTTTTGCCACAAGCCATTACCAATAAATGTCTGGCAAATATGACAGCTTGACATTTATGTCACGACAAATTGACCCGATATCAACGTCCCTACCCTTACCACGGAATACTCCGGTTTCGTCACTCCAACTTCCTTCCCAAATATGTACGCGGATCCGTCCCCGCCAGAGATGGCGGTCATGGGGCTATATGCGACGGACATGTTACCCACCAGAACGGTAGAAGTGGATCCCATCGAGTACGACGCGACCGTCTTCGTATTGGAAGACGATCCCATTAAGTAAACCAGGTCATACGTGGCGCCACGTGGTACGGCCGCATGGTAATAATCTGACGACGGGAGGGCCGCCATAAACTCGATTTCGCCATTGTGAGGATTGACTTTGTGCACGTTCCCGTAGTAAAATATGTTCCCGGTGTAGATGTAAATGTTTCCGGCCGTATCGATCGAGGTTGTCGCGGAGATCGTAAGAACTTCCGGGGCAAACGTGGCGACCAGGGTGATCGAGCCGGTGGAAATTTTATAGGCGAGGATGTCCTTAATGCCAAACTGGGAGGTGGCGTCGCTCCCTCCAACAATGTAGATCGTGTCGTCCCCATCGTACACGGATGAGCAGCCGGATCTCTGCGTGGGTAGGACGGTGTTCACTCGGACGGCGGTCAGTTGTTGGGCGAATGAGGAAGAAAAAAACGTTAGCAGTAAAATAAAAATTATTACTGGTTGGGAGGACAACATTTTGATGTTTTAACGAGATGGAACAGGTTGTGGATCTTTTCTGATTGACAGAGAGGGACAGAGTGGACAAAGTTTAGTGGGTGCAGGCAGGTGCTATTAAGTAAGCTTATCTTAAATTGTTAACAGATATATCGATCAAATTGTTGATAAGGGGGAAGTTAATTATTTTTATGGTTTAAATAAAAAATGGTTTATTCGGTAGAGTGCATATGTACAAGAGTATTACAAAATTTGTGTTCTTTGTGTAAGTTCAACTATGTATGTATGCTGGGTATAGGTGTTAAAGTGGTTGATATGAATGTATGTATGTATGGGACCTTAAACGTTTTATCATGGTGGTATTTCCAACTATAAATACTCAAATTGCGAAATATACACATTTTATCGATGACAATTTTGTAATGCAGTGATCACTTTAAAAGGAACTGGTTAGAATGAAATTCTGCATTTGAGTTGACTATACCTATGTATGAAATTGCGGAGTCCTTAGCGTTCGTGTTTATTGTTAGTTGTGCAGCAAATATGCATATATGTAGCTTGTTTAATATTACTAAATGAATAACAATTCGTGACAATTTAACTGCAAAGTAAGTAAATATTATCACATTAGGAAAGTATATTTTGAAAAATTCCCGCAATTTAATAAGAAAATGCAAAGATATCTATGTGTGTATGTATATATGTACATATGTAGCTACACAATTTAATTTATCCCTCTGTCTTAATGAATGCATTTTTCAATGCTCAATAATATTGATTAGGTTCTATCTCTGATGATAATCGACCCATTTCCCAAAAAGTTTTGCTCTCCAAGATAATTTTTCAAAAGCCAGATCGCCACCTATGCACTTCCCGAGGGTAAATTGCTAACACCCCAAAACCGTATTGACAACCCTTCACACATGACGCAATTTTTATTCCGACCGTCCAAGCAAATTATGTACTCAAATCTATAATTTATTTAATCGGGCGGAAAAAGGTTCATGATAAGACCTCAAAATTTCTGATATGCTTACATCGCACGTCATATTATGTCGGCAGGCTTTGATCGATTGATCAATTGGCCAATTCGATCGGCTTGTCTCTATAGATTTTCTGTGAATGGTTGACATTGTCCCAATACATAATTTGATGAGATTCTGACCTGCAGTTTTATTCTAGTTGACGCAAGTACTATCAGATTTTAATTGAATTTACTTGACCATGAATTTTTATAGCTTAAACTAATTTATCTGCATTTCCTGAATTTTTGCAATGCTTACATGCAAACATACTCCTCTGAATATGTATCTTATCATATTAATTACGACAGATTTACGTCAATCATGACATTCTGCGGATCCAGTATAAAACCGAGCGAACCCCTTCATCCAGGTACATTCACACGTTCTTCACTCTCATAATTTCAAATCTAAATAGTGAGAAAAAAGCTTTTCAAATTTTGAAAATGTCGTCCGCATTGAAATATTTGGCTGCCTTGGCCCTCATTTCCGCCGCCGCTTCTGTGACAGCATCTTCGCTGAGCACAGCATCTTCGCTTCTTTTAACCTTACTGAGGTCAGTATCGTCCAAAAGACGGCCGACAATTCAAGGGGCGTCGTGAGAAACATTACTCGCTGTGGTACGTATGTATTTAAATAAGTACACTTTTTGCATATTTTAATCGATATTAAACAATAAATGGTAACATTTATATAATTGATGAGGTGGGTACGGAACACCAATTCAACTCAGAGTTTCGGATTGCGAGGGACGCTGTGCTTTCATACCTGGACGAGTGTACGACATTGAGTATGATTTCATGCCAAGTAAGTTTAGTCGATTATTAGCTCGCCCTGCGTAGCACGGGAGCTATTGAATTCCTCTTGTCCGTCCGTCCGTCCGTCCGTCTGTCTGTTAACGACCTTTTTGCATCAATTGATGCTACTTAAACAGCCCCTTGACCATTATTGGATACGTCAGGCGCACCATTGGTATTAAACAAACCGAATCAAATTTTTTAACAAGTTAATAGGACCATTGATATCTAACAATCGGGAACACAAAATGATGCGAAATAATTGGAGGCAGAGACGCAAAACGCACCAATAATGCAGAATATCCGGGAGAAATGATCATACAATTTTGACATAAATTTTTCAAAATTATCGTTGATCGTTGGTAGGTAATTCTGCACCAGTGATGCACAATTTTTGGACTCTTCTCGATGCATAATAATTATTGATCTATTTTGTTGGATTTTTCTGCACCATTGGTGCAACATTGCATAAAAATTATTCATCTACTTTGTTGGATTTTTCTGCACCATTGGTGCATAATTGCAAAAAATTATGTATCCATTTTGTTGGATTTTTCTGCACCATTGGTGCAAGTTATAACCAAATCATTATTACAGGGTGAGCTACTTCTAACGTTACTACGGTTTATTAATATTTAACTTACATAATTAAGCAGTATAGTTTTTCTATTAAGTTAAGTTTAGAGTAACTGATTGATCTCGATAAAATTTTATATAAAATTGGAATTTTATCCAATTCCTAATTTTTTATTTGATAATAATTACACCCATCAGTTACCAGTTATCATCGATTATGTTACACATTTAAAAATCTGGTATAGTAATACAAGCATTGATACCCGATATCCCCGTATTAAAGTTGATACCGCTTGGTATTGAAATTATACCGATCGGCTTCCGCTAACCCTGAGCTATTGCTACACGGTATTACATACTTATCAAAACCACATCGGTATAGTCAATTATGCATACTACTTATCTGTACTTATCTGTTTAATCCTGGATTTTTAAGAGTGTAGCGACTAAAATTCATATAGAGTTAATTATCACTTCACTAATTAATCAACAGGCTCTGCCGCACCGTCGCTCAGTTTGGCGGTTGACCTCGTGTACCTCGGAACTCAGCACCGTCTCTTTGACTTCGTCCTGCCAGACTCTGTCCAACCTGGTTTCGTATACACCGTGAGGTACAGCATCGTACCGAATGATGTCCTCGCTGGGAACGCGGTTCTTCTTCGTGCCATCATTTATCACACGGACAACCGAATTTTGGAGGTTTGCAGCCAGACGGAAGCCGATATCTTGAACCTTCCATAAATTGCGGGGTTAAAAGATTAGTTAATAAATATGTATTGTTACTAATTTATTCATAAGTGCGTCATTGAATTACATCAATAATACCTGTTCAAAAATTTAGTTTTTATTCAAAAGTCCGATTTCTGACTGAAGATTTTCATTCAATTCAGTCATTTGCTGTCGAACTCATTTTATTTCACATCATCGGACTGCATTTCTTCCTTCGCCCCATGTATTCAGCATAGGGTGAAAAATGAGATGAGTGAGAAATCCCTTCATTCACAGTTATTCAACCTGAAATGACGGAATCTTTCATTCATTTTCATTCACTATCGCTTACCACTCACCATCATAATCACTTAAATGAATGAAAGTGAACAGGTATGACATAAATGCGAGCAAAACGGGTAACCAACGACTAATTTTTTCGTCTTTGCAGTATTTTTGCATATGTAAAAGTCGAATTTATTTTAGATGATTGGCCTGGTTACATATGTATGTATGGAATATCAGATGTTAAGCTTATTTAATTTTGGTTCATCAAATTGACACATTATTTGGATTTTATTATAGATAACACCGTTTTGCATCAACTTTTGAAGTATGTTAAGTATGTAGTTCTACATATTTTAATCACCCCCTGGTCGTTCGAAATGAATAGTGGACGCTGCGCCGTAAAGGGGAGAGGGTTTCAAAGTTTTGCATCCCCGGTTGTATCCCCCACAGGCAAAAGTCTCATTGTTTGTGTTTGATAAATATTTCCCGGTAAACGTACCGTTTTCAAAAATCCACACCCCATAATGCCCTGCGCCAAGGGAAAACCTGCAAAATGGTATTAAGACTTTCAGGGACCGTACATAAAGATGCCATGGATTTAAGTGCAATGTGGGCGGAAATACACTGTGTATACACTGTTAAAAATCTGGTATACCTACCCAACCAGAAGTTTAACGATGAAATAACATTAATTCATCTGCGTTGAATCACGGTGATCGTGTCAGTGTTTTCAACGTCCCACGCACCGTGCATTTCATGGTAATCGCCCAGTGACTTCACCGTTACTTACATCTTGAATCAACGTTAATGCACGGTAAAATTTATGTGCATGGCACCTTATATTATCTTTCTGTCAACGTTAATCGCACGATGGTATATCCTAGGTTTCTCGGTGATGCACTGTTAATTGAACGTTCATTTTGCAAATATTTATATCCAAATATTTTTATTTCAAAGCTTACTCACAACAAAATAATACATAACAATATAAACTATGTGTAAATATACATGTCAATTATGATTAGTAATCTATTCTTCACATAAAGGAACACAAATGTAACTTGATTTTTTACTACATGCTATGGGAAACAACATTACCTTATATTTTATGTCAAATTCATTAATTAACTTTGAAGTGAATGAAAGATCTGTTACTTTACAGATCATAAATTTTGTCGATTTACATGGATCTGTAAAATAATCAGACTTTCCCTTAAATTTACGTATACGAATCTTTTGTCCCTCAATAGAAATGACTACAACAATATCATTGTTTTGTAAAATAAAGCCTCGATCTCTTGGTTTGTCGGAAATTTTAAATTGTCTGGAGATTGTCTCAATAATTTTTGCATTCTCTTTAACACGTTCTTTTTCTCCTATACGTCTTATCACCTGTGCTAAATGATTGCTATTACCTCGTATCATTCGCTTGATTGTTTGCATATCGTTTTCAAACGCAAACGCATTAATTGTTTCTAACGAACCAAAAATGTCTGCATCATCAGTGATATGAACTAAAGAGTGAACATTATACACAAGAAATTCCTTGCAGTATAGGGTAGACATATCTTTACCAAATTCAAAAAATAAATGTCTTGCAAATGGATACCAAGATCTGTTGTTAGAAAGCAAAATTCTGGTCGCAATGCTAAGCTTTAAAAAATGTTTATATTTTTGGGGGCTCAGAGAATCTTTCAAAACTACTGGACCATAGTACAATAGGAAACTCCTAAATTCTGTGGCTTTCCAGAATTCTAATTCTGAAAGAGATCTCGGTCTCCTATTGAATTCTGAGGCTGCGTATTTGTTTAATCTAACTAACTTTTCAGAAATTATTAAAATTGTTTGTCTCCCTTCTCTATGGGGCAGAGGTCCACTTTTCCAACATTTTAGTAGTTTTTTTACTACACCTAAACAAATAAGGTGCATGTAGTCAAGCACCACACAACTGACTAAACCAAAATTTAACGGAACTAAAGGGGAAGTTCCGTGGTGGTGGAGTTTATCTAGCTGGTCGTTAAAATCTTTGTCTGTTCTAAGTGGGGAAGAAAATTCATTGAATACAACTCGACCAAACCACGCACCTTTTAATGTACAACGGTCACATCCATGGAAACCATTAAAAGCTGCAGTCTGCTTTACATAATTACGAGCCGGCGCATCAGCAATGATACACCGTAGCCTAACTCCAAGATTAACACCATAAATATTTACACCTTTCGCTCTTAATTCTAAAAATTCATTAACTAATGGCCCCAAAAACTCATTTACATCTATGGGCTTAGATTGTTCGCCGTAATATAATCCAATCAAAAATGGGATATTATTACTTATGTGAGGACATCGACCAAGAATAGGCCAGAACTGTTTCTTACTACTTTTGCTAATAGGAACGCCATCAATTCCTATCGTTATTGAGAAAAATCCCTGCTTTGACAATGTACAAAAACTACTATCAGACACTACTTGCAACTTTTGACGTAACCCAAAATGATAATAATAACCACCTGCTATTGTACAAATATTATAGTTTGTTGGAGTTCCTAGTAAAGTTTTATATGATTTTGGCAATTTGGAACTAGGGAACTCCTCACTCAAAACATTTAATAAACTATCCACAGCAGTGGAGGTAATATTATTTTCTACTGCCCATTTTGCTAATTTATCCTTAATACTCAAATTACTCATATTGTGCTCTAATAACTTATCTGAACCTAAGCATATCCCGTTGGCATAATCAGAATCACAAACTAATTGTAACTCAGATAATGAATCATTAGAAATTACTGGCTGACCTAACTCTACATCTGGTACATCTGATACATCAGTTTCCATTTCACTTAACATTAACTGTACATTACTTTCTATCCTCCGATATCTTGTCCTGTCAGAAGCCATATTAATTTTTTACACGATCTAGACTTAAGATTAATTAAATTAGCAAATTAACTTATTCTCCAATTATTCATCAGACGATTTCTTCTCCGGTTTCCGGCAAAATCGAAGCTTATCCATTATGATTGATTTAATCTCTAAATCATCCGGCACCGTGACTAGTTTTCTGTTGCGTTTCACAGCAGCTGTTGGAGAATAGTGATGCATTAAATTTATTTATATCTAGTGGAACATTTATTGAAGCGGTTTTAAATATCTTACCGACGATAGCCGTGTTGATATTTGAGAAGGATATGTACGATTTTTTTCCATCGCCCTTGCCCGTGTAAGTCAATCCGATCCGTAGTGTTTTTGCAAATATCCTCTCCAAAATTTCGGTGATTGTAATAGGAAGTGTTGTTCCTCCTATCCCAACAAGGTACTGCTCCTGTTAGTTGTTACCAAAATCAATTAATAAATAGGTCTGTTGCACATATGTATAGATATAGCATGATGATAAATTAAATCATAAAAACGTACAAATACTTTCCTTTCCGTATCAATAGATAATTGAACATCAAATGCTGTTAAGTCGGCCTCACTCTCGATAGGGAATTTTGGTAGCGATGAATAATCCACCTCCACATGCGGTGTTGCCCCTGACCGTTGATTCAAGACTAGTTCGTCCAGGATTTGACGGAAGTCCCTTTGATTGGCTTCAATACGTGCCAACGCTCTAATGATTACCCCTTGGAAGCCTACGAAATATTAAAAAAATGTGTAGGTAATCCACATCGTGCGTAAATGTTTCGAAATACCTTCCGAAAAACCTGAATTTGACGACTTTGACGTTCCCACGTTTTTTGTAGGAGCAGATGTGCATAAAACTCCGCTGGAGTCAATGAAGAAAGTTTGAGAATTCGGCAAAATTTCCACCGTTTGAAAATTTAGTTGGTTTCTCTCGTCTTCAGCCAATGATGAAAGACTTTGCGAGGAGCCAGCAGCCCCAGGTTCATTAACCGCTCCTCCTGAAAATAATAATATTACAAATCACCGAACTATATAAGTATGAATGTTACGCTATTATGTTTGTTAAGAGTTAAACATTTACCAATAAAATTATTATGCGGCTCACAGACTGAAACTGGAATTTATGGAATTGTGGTAGTCAAATTCGCCTGGCTTGGTTTGTCAAGGTCCTCACAATCAGACGACGATGACCGCGCTGGACGTTGCGTTGTCCTCCTTGTGCGTTTTCCCGCAGAGAAGTCCACTTTCGACACCTCTATTTCTGAGGTATCCTCCGCCTTGTGTGCGGCGGCGTTGGCACTAGTATAGTTATCTGCAAAGTAATTTCCTTATAGTAATTTAAATAAAACACAAAATTTAAACTATATGAAACACCTTAAAATTAGTATTTACCAAATTCTCCCAGCACTCGACATTTGTAGACAGTCCAACCATCACCAGGGGATGAATTCTTGTCTTTTTTCTTGTTTGTAAAAGAAGGGGTCACTTTATTGGGCCACCGACATCCGGTCTTGTCAGACGTTAGCCAAATTGCTGGAACTGCTTCAACAGTTTGCTCCTCGGGGAATTCTAACACCACAAATGGTTTACTCGTTATAACAGCCAGACTCATTTCCAGTTATTGAGGAAAAAAACTACTAAATATTTAAATTTTATGAGCAGGATAATTAATTCGGAAAGTACAAAGATATTAAATAAGTAAATGTAGAGCTCTGCTGCTGCCGGTGTGGTGGTGGAAAATTTGGAGCGAAATGGAGTGGTGGAATCTAAAATGGGGGAACGTGCAGCGTCATGTCTTTAACACGTTGATTTCACGCTGAGGACACGTTAAATCTTCGTGCATGTTTTACCGTGAACTTATCACGGTATTTCAGCGTTGTGTCAACGATATAGTAAAATTAACGTGAATTTCGACTGTTAGTTTACCGTGCTTCGCACAATTCATTATAACGGTATGATGATCACACAAATATAACGTTAAAATTACAAGACTTTTGCGAAAATCTGCACCTTATTTCAACAGTGCAAAATCTGCACGTTAAATCCGTTGGGTCAACGTTGTATCATCTATCATTTCTGGTTGGGTAGTCAGGCAGGTATTGATTTCTCGGTATTAAAATTTCTACCGCTTGGCATTAAAATTATACTGGCTGGTAAAAACTTTAATACCAAGTTGTTAGTATATACATATGTAAACACATGGCATTACTTATCAACACCACTTTAGTAGAGTCATAAATGAATACCGCTTGATATTATTTTAATACCGGATTTCTAAGAGTGTACATATGAAATTTGTCAACATTTTTAAGAATTCGATCAAATTCCACATGCCAGATTCCATTATGGGAATAATAAATTTTAATGGGCGTATTCACCGCAACGTCTTATTTTGCGTCACAACTCTTTAGGAAACTTGCGAAGTATTTCTGTCGTGAGGGGATTCGTAAAATATGACTTCGAAAAAAAATGAAATAAAGAACATGCTCATTTGCTAGGTAAATTTGGCCCAAAAATTTCACGGTTTTCCAGCAAAATTTCTGCAAAATCCCACAAATTTCGCAAACCTTCGTAAGTTATGTTGCTCTGCTCAATTTGCGAAGGTTGACGTGAGCACGTTCAGTACATACATAATATGAGTATTTTTTTAAATTTCAACATACGTGTCATATCCGACTTGTCGCTTTATCTCGACAAAGTTGTAGTCCAAGTTGACATTGTAAATGATGAAATTGTACCGCAATTTCCGACTGGTAAGGTTAAAGTTTAACCGCTCAGCTAAATCGTTTAAAATTATGCCGAGCACGTTCGACCTTGACCTTGACCTGGACCTCTCAACCTGGAGCTTTTCATAATCGAATCGCTGCTTCATTTCCTTGATTTGGTTGACAAGGATTTGTTGCACATTTTCGTCGCCCGACAGGCTGAAATATTGTTGAAAATGTAGAAATTTAGGGTTGGATAAAAAAATTAAAATCTACAAGTTGAAAAAATAATTTATGAAAATAATTTATTCAATATTTGCATAATAATTTCCAACGGTTTACCTGTTAGCTGTATTATTGATGGGAATATTCATTGCGGACAAAAAATTGTGTGCAGCTTGTTACACCCCAAGATTCTAACGTATGAATTTGTGAGATAAATATGTATGTTCTTCGCCAAATTGTATATTTAAATTTTTAAAATCATAACGAAACGTTAAATTGAAATGTTTAACGAACAAGTGGAGAAGAGCTAATGCTGGATTTAACCAGGACTTGGTACATACACGAGAAAAAGATGACCTCATCGCCAGTCTGGAGCCGTAAGCCATGATGACGAAGTAGTTTAAATTTTATTAGTTTAAGTGTATATCCGAGAGCAGTAACAGCGGAGGCGGGGGAACATGGGGAAGACATGGTGACATTTTTTGACATTTTTGGGGACATTGTGCTCCCCAAAAATTCAGAAAAATTGTCGTATCTTTCCCATATTTACATACATACAGAGGGGTGGGACAGAAGAAGGAGCCACTTTGCCTAAATTTATTCCGGCCTTATTATTCGTTTGTGAAGTTTGGTAATTGGTTCAGTGTGAAGCCCTTTAGTTTATCTAACGAGCCTCAGTCGCTTTTTCCAACCAGTCATGACCTTTGACACAATTTTCAGAGTGATTCTGCACCACTCGTCCTGAACACTTTTCCAAAGTGCATCAAAACGCACGCGTTTTCCTTTCAAGAAGGCTCTGTTTTAAGTACTCGAATCCAAAAAAAACATCGGATTGATATCAGAGGAACTAACGAGAGTTTCTATAGTAGGAATAATTGTTATACCCAAACTTTTTTTAAAATCCTTCGTGTAGGCTGATATTTTGTGAGAAATAAGTTGGGATGAGAGCATGATCTCGGGATTTCCTACGAGTCACTTGCTGTAGGTCATTGTGAATGACTCTAGAAATGTTCTCCTACTAACGTTTAACATTTTCGCCATGCAACTTTTAGTTGGTGGATTTACCGTTTTGGCGAAAAATTGATTTTCCGGATAAACTTTTTGGTTCAAGCGGATCTTGGGTATCCTTTCCGTGGGGGTGGAGCTCTAACCGCTTTTTCCCTCCGCTTGATTCCAACGTTTTTAAGTACATTAGAAACGTACTTTCGATCGACGATAAATCCATTTGCAGCAAATTTTCTAACAATCGCTCTCTGGCTCAGTATGTCTTTGGAAAACACTTTTATGCGTGCCTCGCACTCTGGGGGGTGCTGCAGGGGCATTTTTAACCGTAGGGAAAATCTGAATAGTGTTAAATTTTCGTTAACTATCTGGGTATGACATATGCAAATTTTGAAAATGCCGCGACTGTGCATCACACGCCACCCCTAAAATTCAAGTGGCTCCTTCTTCTGTCCCACCCCTGTACAACTGCAAGTGATCGAATTTTACAAAATGCATCATAAATATCTTTATGTTCAAAAGATTAATTCTAATTTGCAGGTTTCCCCTTGACGCGTTGCATTACGGGGTGTGGATTTTTGAACAGGGTATTTTTAGTGGAGAAAATTTATTAAATACACGCATGGACACCTATATCAGTGGGGGGTACAATCGGGGACGCATAATTCGGGAAGATGTCCGGTCACTGCCCACTACCATTTATTTCGGACAACCAGAGGAGGATTAAAATGTTTTAAATTTCGCAAAGTATATTAAAAGCTGAAAATAGATAATTAAAAATAATTTCATGTGACTCAAACATACTTGATTTACACATTACAAGGGTGTTATCTGTTATCAACAGTTGTAAGTGAAATAAAATCTATAGAGGTACATATCGCGTCCATTTTATGAATAAAGTGCTTAACATCTGACACTACTAAAATGGGAGTTTTAAGCAAATGAAGGGACGCGCCTAAGTAAGAGGATAGTAGTTCTTTATTTTACAGGCCGCATCACTACAAATGTGTACATGCTACGATTGATTAACCATTTAAGCATTTTATTTAGATTTTTCGGTGAACCTTTATGTTCGTGCGTGCAAATATGTAGATATATGTACATATAATGCAATGCACATTGTGTGTCTTCATGCCATGAGTCGTCCCTTCCACCATTATCCCATCTGCAACTTAAGGAAGAGTGCTTATTCCACCCTATTTCAAAATATGCATATCGTAAAGTTGAACCCTTCAAGCTTTCTAATTTGGGCCATGCATGAAACCAGTGATCAATCCATATATATGTATGTATGTCAGGGGTATTTGTCAAAGAAATATGTGTGTGAGTACATATTCAATATCATAATTGTACATGACATATTTATTACATATATATGGGCAGCAAAGGAAGGATAAAGTTTGCAACACCCACATGCTGTGAATATATATGTAGGTACCTTTTATACACGCTAAGGGACCCCTTAGCACCATTTAAACATACATACGTACATATGTACATATCTAGGCATAAAATCTGAAGGTATGGTCAAAATCATGTGACTCTGCTTTTTACATAACTTCGTCCATTGCCCACGTCTTAAATTATTCCTCGATTTTAAAATTCCACAAGTTTTTATCAGACTACATGCGCAGCAAATCCACGAAAAACATGTCGCATACTTATCAGGCTTACGGGTCCTTCTAATGTTTCCTACATACGTATAGAATTTTTCAACTATGGGTACTTCTCGTCAAGCTTATCCTGCTGCCTTCACACCGAATATCCAAAATATGGGGTAAGTAAAAAATAGCCAAAATTCCGGGACAATCTGAGAAAACTTGTATAAGATCCTTACTGGCCGAAAGGCATACTTCATACTTGACTCCACCGGCACTGCTAATAACTTGCATTGCCGTTTAATAATGCTGGGGTAATCAAAACCCAGAAAAAAACTATGAAAACGGTGTATGCATATGGCTCTACCAGATTTTTAATATTGTAGCGTCCCATAGGTATGTATTAACAGTCCATACTGGGATTGGGAAGAACTTCCTACCGAATTGGTAGCAGTTTGTTACTGAGTGGTAAATTTGTTATTACCATTATGGTAATGAGAAATTTACCGCTTGGTGATGTTATGATAACATCACCAAGCGGTTATGCCCGTTTTACTGTGTGGGCAGATATGTACTCCGGTCAGTAATGATTTAATACCAGTTTTCTAAGCGTCTACATAAATTAGCATATTTTTTCTAATTAAATATATATTTAATTACATAAAATATACACGCATTTAGCACATATGTGCTAAATGCGTGTAACTACATAGAGAGCGAAACCTTATGTAGTCAACAAGAACTTGATTTCGATTTTAATTACAACTTTACAGCGAGATGGATCACGGCTTAGGAAAAATCATTGTAGGTCTAATTCACGCCGTTAGCAACACTATCAAACCAAACATGGACGTCGAGCTGGACAAAATCCGGGCCAGAATTATAACCGATTTGGCAGAGCGATTAAATTGCACGTTAACCTTGCAAAAGATTCTGTACAATTTCGTCGTTTACAATATGGACCTCGACTACAAATTCGACCAAATGCGGGGACAAATCGGGTATGAATCGTAAGTATATAAATATACGAATAAATAGTTTACCGGTTTGGAACTGGAAAAAAATCGACAAATTTGAAAAAAAATCTAAATTGCTACACCCTAAAAATAATGTTACTCATTTGAAAAGTAAATGCACTCTAAATTTAGCTGCAAGTAAATTTTTCTAAATCCAGAGTAACGTTAACTTGATAAAGAGTAAGGATTACTCTGGACTTAATTTAGAAATCAAATTGCATTTGTTTCTAAAAAGCGTTGCATTATTTTTAAGGGTCTGTCATTAACTATCTAATGTAATCCAGATGTTTCTCCATTTTCTAGATTTTCCCTCGGATCGTCACTATATGAAATTTGGGTTTCTCAACATGGCTCATTTACCGGGAGTTTTGAAAAGGGCCACTTTGCCTGTGGCGGGTATAATAGAGGATGCATTATCGAACGCAAAAATAATTCGGATGGGGAGTTAACCATCTATTTCGGAGTTCCAGCCAAAGACGGTGCGAACTGACAAGGCGTAATTGATAATTTGCCATTTGATGGATTCCATCTCAAGAGAATAAATTTTAGATTGTAAAAAAATAGTGAATTTAAATTAAATGCATTCACAGATTTTATTTCGTTTTCAGGCAGATTTTAATTAATTCTGCAAGTAAAAAAATGTGTAGGGACCACGTTTGCAGAAACATTTATCAACTACAGATACATACGTACTTATAAGTATTTATATACCTAACATACCTGCATAAATAAATTGGTATGTACATCAAAATCGTATAACAATTTTTACTATTTTATTAAGTGAATAATCCTTAAAAGACTGCCCATTAAATTACAGAATATAAAATGATAATATGACAAATTTAGTTCGGTCTAAATAATGAAATTCTGAATTCTCATCGCATGCATGCATATTTTCATATGTATTGTGTCTGTAAGATCGGCATAAATCGTATACATATACAGATATACATATGTATGTAAATATGTATATAGTCTAAATCCACGCAGAATATGCATGTGTGTATGTGGTATTTAGGTAATGTGGTTTTAACAACAAGTTGAGAATGTTCAGCTATAAAATTCTATCTAATCGTGTGTCAAATTGCACATGAAAGTATTTAGTTTCTCTCCAAACTCACATTATACATCTAACTCTCTGATAAGATTGTGTAAGCATGTAGTTCAAGAAATTGCTTTCTCAGTTTCTAATGTTTCACTGCTTATTTAATATCCTCAGTCTGAGACAGTGACCGCGGAACTTCGAGGGACATATGGTGACATTAGAATTATGAGATAGAAGAGGTGGGGCTTCTACAGGGGTGGGACAGAAGAAGGAGCCACTTGAATTTTAGGGGTGGCGTGTGATGCACAGTCGCGGCATTTTCAAAATTTGCATATGTCATACCCAGATAGTTAACGAAAATTTAACACTATTCAGATTTTCCCTACGGTTAAAAATGCCCCTGCAGCACCCCCCAGAGTGCGAGGCACGCATAAAAGTGTTTTCCAAAGACATACTGAGCCAGAGAGCGATTGTTAGAAAATTTGCTGCAAATGGATTTATCGTCGATCGAAAGTACGTTTCTAATGTACTTAAAAACGTTGGAATCAAGCGGAGGGAAAAAGCGGTTACAGCTCCACCCCCACGGAAAGGATACCCAAGATCCGCTTGAACCAAAAAGTTTATCCGGAAAATCAATTTTTCGCCAAAACGGTAAATCCACCAACTAAAAGTTGCATGGCGAAAATGTTAAACGTTAGTAGGAGAACATTTCTAGAGTCATTCACAATGACCTACAGCAAGTGACTCGTAGGAAATCCCGAGATCATGCTCTCATCCCAACTTATTTCTCACAAAATATCAGCCTACACGAAGGATTTTAAAAAAAGTTTGGGTATAACAATTATTCCTACTATAGAAACTCTCGTTAGTTCCTCTGATATCAATCCGATGTTTTTTTTGGATTCGAGTACTTAAAACAGAGCCTTCTTGAAAGGAAAACGCGTGCGTTTTGATGCACTTTGGAAAAGTGTTCAGGACGAGTGGTGCAGAATCACTCTGAAAATTGTGTCAAAGGTCATGACTGGTTGGAAAAAGCGACTGAGGCTCGTTAGATAAACTAAAGGGCTTCACACTGAACCAATTACCAAACTTCACAAACGAATAATAAGGCCGGAATAAATTTAGGCAAAGTGGCTCCTTCTTCTGTCCCACCCCTCTGTATATTCTTTTTGATATTAGTAACTTTTAACAGTTTTTTAAATTTCAACGTACGTGTGATATCCGACTTGCCCCTTTATCATGATAAATTTGTAGTATAAATTGATATTGTAAATGACGAAATTATAGCGTAATTTCCGCTTGGTAAGGTCGAAATTTAATCGCTCAACCAAATCGTTTAAGATCATCACGCGGACCTCTAATTTTTCAAGCTGGAGCTTCTCATAATCGAAACTTTTTTTCATTTCATCGATTTTGTTGACAAGGATTTGCTGTACATCGTCGTCGTCCGTCGGGCTGAAATAATGTTTAAAACGTGGTTTAAAAAATAATTAAAATTAGTTACGTACTCAATATTATGCCAACTTTTTTAAGGGTTTACATACCCGCTATTAGTGACAGGAATATTCATTTGGGACATGGGTAAAATTTTTCGATTTCTTATGGTTTAATGTATCGTAAAATTGTCTAGGTTATGTGAAAATCATAACGAAATAGCAAAACTTTAACCGACAAGTGGTGAAGGGCTAATGGGAAATTCTACCACGCTAAGAGTATGGAAAACGGATTTCTTTGAAAGGAGTGTTTATTTCCGTGTTTGTAAATAATTCCATAACGTGGACTTAATATGGTACTATGCATAAACTATGTTATGTATTTTTTATGTACGATTCTAGTGTTAAATTAGAAAGTTTGATGGTTTTAAATTTTCAACAGAAAATATTTATTGAAGCACCAACGGTGACCTTTGGTACGTATTTATACATATCTCATAAGTTAATAATGCAAAGATGTAAATCAGATGAAAAGTGTAGTGGACGGTCCATGAGTAGCAAAGACAAGCAGGGTAGGGACCGTTCATAAATTTTCCCTCTGTAATATGCGTCACATATGTGGGCCCGATACCATTGGAGATGGGAGTAACTAAATTGCGTTATATAATTTATGAACGGCCCCGTATGAATGTCAGTGATTTATTTTTATTTTATTTTCTGACACTTACAATAAATATGTGGCTTACATATCTGCATACGTAAGTGAGTACGTACAAATAAATCTACGAAAGTACTCCTATTTTTTTAACCATACGATCCTCGACGTCATCACTCTCATTACTAATAGCATTGAAGTGGTGACGTCGAGGGTCGTTTGGTAAATAAACGGACTGTATGTATGCCCCTACAAATTTATAAATACCACATACCAACACGTACATATAATTATGCTTGATTAAAATTTGATATTTTCATGCGATTTTTGCATTTAAAAAAATGCCTATAATTTTTTTTAAATTTAAAGTTTAAAAAAAATGAATTTTTATAATTTCGTAGGAGTAATACTGAACAAAAATTGTGTCTAATTTTTGAAATCGGGTTAAAATTCGAAAAGTTAGGTTAGGTTAATTTTACGTCTTTAAAAATTAGAATTTTGGATTTATTTTTTTTTGAAAATTCCACCACGGGCGTAAACATGTCCATTCACGAAAACGTAAAAATTCAGGTCCACTTATGTTTGAGCGCGAACAATTTAAAATTAGTCCGGTGGATATCGGCGATAACCAATGTGTCGATTTTTACGAAGCTTGGCCGTTTTTTTAAACTACTTCACGTTACTAGATATGGATATATATGTAAATACCTATGCGACGACAATTGAGAATACCCTCAATGCTAATTAAATAACGATAATTACATAATAAATAATATATATGCATAACTTGGTTAAAACAGAATTCTTAGGGCATTTCCTTCCAAAAAGGGCAGCATTAGCTTTAGGAGTGCTCATAAATAGTTTCTAATATGAGCAACATTTATTCAAAAATTTCTCCCCCTACGCCATAATCGTGTCTATAGCATAATCCAACATCTGCTGGAAAACGAATACTTTACTCTCTTTATCCAAAATTAATAAGGTCACCTCCCCAATTCCAACGTATAACGCCAACGGTTCCAAACTTTTCATCCATCGCGCCATCTCTCTCCTTTTCCTTGCATCCCCCACATTCCCCAATCCCCTCTTATATTTATCCAACAAATTCTTACTCATTTCATTAATATACGCGCCAAAATTGCAAACCAGTATTTGCACATAGACCGTTACGAACACCCCAAACGCGCATAGCAGTAACAAAGTGTTGTATATGTATCTCAAGTAGTACTTTACAGGTTGGATCTTTAACCTTGAGTTTATGCGCATATGTATGAATGTATGAAATCATGGTGTGTCCGTGCGTGTACGAATGAGTCAACTTGTTATATTTAATTCCGGTTTCTAATAAATTAGTTTGTTAATTGTTAATATTGTATTGTGTGCTATAAAGTCATTAAGCATCAAATACAACATTTGGCGACGAGGCTGAATCGAACTTACGTAAATTCAGTGCAGTTTAGTAAGCAGTGTGAGAATTTTGAAGTTAATCTGTGTAAGAACCTTCAAAAATGTCTATCGGCAAGTTAAGCCCGTTCAACCCCACCTCCGACGATTTTGATGCTTGGACAGGAGTTCTGGACAACTACCTTATCGCCAATGGAGTGGACAAGTCTGTGTCAAGTCAGGAAGCTAAAGCTAACGCTATATTGTTGTCATCAATTGGCCTCTCAACTTATGCTCTCCTCAGTGACATTCTCTCACCTGATAAACCCGAAGATAAAAAGTTTGCTGATCTAATCACAACCCTTCGTACACATTTTACGCCGGCACCGAAAGCTATTGCGGAACGTTTTAAGTTTACAAGTCGTAAGCGAAAGTTGGGTGAATCAGTCACGTCGTTTATGACTGAGCTTCGTAAACTCGCATCTACGTGTAAATTTGCTACTGAACTGGATACTCGCTTGCGTGATCAATTTATTTTTGGTTTAAATAGTGAAGCAGCCCAGAAAGTCCTAATGAGTAATGAGCGTCGCTCTCGCCCAGGAAACCGCAATCGCCAGTACCCAAGTCGTTCGTTCGGGCAATCCGTCCGCCCACAGTGTTCCAGAGGGGGATGCCACATTTCAAGTAGGGAAGAAGGATAAGTACAAGCCTCAGCCGTCACAGCCCCGAAAGAAGAAGGACCAAGGCAAGTGTCCTAATTGTGGAAGTTCTCACCCCCGTTCTGAGTGCCCTCATCGTGACGTAGAGTGTTTCGTCTGTCGCAAGCGGGGACATTTTGCAAAGTTCTGCAAAAGTAAGAAGTCGTCAAGTCATCCAGTGCATACAGTCAATAGTATAAGGTCGTCGCACCCCCCAATCATGTTGCACACTATTGTACATGGTCGTGAGCATGAAATGGAATTGGATACTGCATCATCATCAAGTTTCGTCAACAAAAAGTTTTGGTATTCTCTTGGCAAGCCGAAGTTCCACCCATCGCAAACTACGTTCAAAACCTTCACGGGTCAGGAGTTTAAATCTGTTGGTCGTCTGTCCACAGATCTTCAGTACAATGGACAATCAAAACGAGTCATTTTGGAGATAAGTGATGGTACATCTCTTTTTGGTCGTAACCTACTTAATCAATTTCAGATGGACTGGCCGAGTATCAAGCTCCAATGTTCTCAAGTAAACAAAATAAGTAGCGCACCTCTCCGTGACTCTCTTCGCGCCGAATTCGCCGACGTCTTCGACAAACCCGTTGGAGTAATACGTAACTTCAAGGCCAAGTTAGTTCTTCGCGATGATGCAGTCCCTCGTTTCTTCAAAGCACGTCCCGTCCCATTTTCTCTTCGTGCCAAGGTGGATGAAGAATTGGACAAAATGGAAAAGTCTGGAGCTATTCAACGCATCGAACATTCAGACTGGGCGTCACCGTTAGTAATTGTTCCTAAAGCAAATGGAAAAGTTCGTATCACTGGAGACTTTAAAAAGACCGTTAATAGTCAATTATGTGTAACTCAATATCCTCTTTCTAGGTATGAGGATTTGTTTGAGTCTGTTGCAGGTGGCGTGTCGTTCTCCAAGTTGGACGCCACTGACGCCTACCACCAAGTCGAGGTGGAGGAAAGTTGTAAAAAGTTTCTCGTTATCAACACTCATCGTGGCTTGTACCGCTACAACGTGTTGCCCCAAGGGATCGCTTCCTCACCAGCAATCTTCCAAGAGATGGTCGACGGTATGCTGAAAGGAATACCCATGAGTGGATCGTTTATCGACGATATGATCAGTTCAGGTCGAACTGAAGAGGAGAATTTAAGAAATCTCAAGATGATACTACAGCGAATGCGTGAATACAACTTCCGGTTATCATCCAGCAAGTGTCTGTTCCTCGAGAAGTCAGTCAAGTTTCTGGGTCAATTCATTAGTCAAGATGGAATTCGTACCGATCCAGAGAAAGTTGAGGCCGTCAAATTAATGCGTCAACCGACCGACCCATCCGAAGTTAAGTCGTTCTTGGGATTAGTGAATTTTTATGCGAGATTCATCCCAAATCTGTCCACGCTGTGTGAGCCTCTGAACAGATTAACCCGTACTGATGTGAAGTGGAAATGGTGCAAATTGTGTGATAATTCGTTTAATAAGATCAAGTCGTTGTTGTCTTCTTCTTGTGTTTTAGCCCATTTCGAGCAGTCTCTACCAATTGGGATCGCGTGTGATGCTTCATCAGTCGGACTCGGTACTGTATTGTTTCACAGATACCCGGATGGGAGTGAAAGACCAATTGCTTTCGCGTCGAAAACCTTGTCCAAGGCTGAGCGAAATTATGGTCAAGTTGAGAAGGAAGGACTCGCACTCATGTTTGGTGTTAAAAGATTTGTGCAGTTTCTTTATGGTCGCAGGTTCATCCTAGTTACAGATCATGAACCGTTGTTGTCAATCTTTGGAGCGAAGACAGGACTGCCCCCTTTAATCGCGTCTCGATTACACCGGTGGAGTCTGTATCTCAGTTCGTTCCAGTATGATGTCGAGTATCGGAACACCAAGAAACATGGAAATGCTGACGCGTTGTCACGTTTGCCATTGTCCGCCGCGCCATCAATTGACCAAGACAGTGAAGCCATTGTCAAAAGAGTGGTGGAGGACAACCCAGTAATGTCAAAGAATATCAGATTCAGGACTGCAAAAGATGAAGAATTGTCTCTTGTCATACGCTACATACGCCAAGGTTGGCCCAGCAAGCAGTCACAATTACCGCAGAAAATCCAGTCTTATTTTCCGCATCGTAACGAGTTCACAGTGGAGGAAGGTATCATTTTGTGGAGACTCCGCGTCGTCGTACCGTCAGCCCTGAAGTCACAACTTCTTCGTCAACTCCACGAGTCGCATCGAGGAATAGTGCGAATGAAAGCAATTGCGCGTCAAGTTATGTGGTGGCCAGGAATCGATGTGGACATTGAAAAGCAAGTCAAATCATGCACAGAGTGTGCTGTCCACCGGGACAACCCGTCCGTAGCCCCCCTCCATCCATGGTCATTCCCGGAAAAGCCCTGGCAACGCATCCATGTGGATCTCGCAGGACCTTTTCTCAGTAATATGTGGCTCATCATGGTCGATGCCCACAGTAAATGGCCAGAAGTCGGTAAATTGGGAAACAATTCCACTTCTAGCAATGTCATTGTCAAAATCAGAGAGATGTTTTCAAGATTTGGAATTCCAGAAACCATCGTTTCAGATAATGGTCCCCAATTTGTGTCAGAAGAGTTCGAGCGATTTTGTAAGAAGAATGGAATACGTCACACTACAAGTAGCGCGTATCATCCTCGTAGTAATGGAGAAGCAGAGCGATTTATTCGTGCCTTTAAGAGTTCCATGTCTAAAGGGGAAGGAAATGATAACTTGTCCTTGTGTAATTTCCTGTTGAGCTACAGAACTACGCCCCATGCGACAACTGGAGTAGCGCCTGCAGAAGTCCTCCTCAAGTCCAAGCCTCGAACGTTATTGGATCTAATCCGTCCTGATCCAAGTGCCCGTGTCCGTACACGTCAAGAGATTCAAGTCGAGTCGTTTGGTGGTCACTCAGCCAGTCGAGAGTTTCGAGTGGGTGACAGTGTTTGGGTCCAGTCATTTTCCAAGAACATGCCGAAGTGGTCCTTGGGAAATATCACGAGAGCAGTGGGTCCTGTCTCGTATGATGTCACTGTTGGAGATCGTGTTATGAAGCGTCATGTCGATCACATTGTTGCAGCCGATCTGTCCCAATTTCCATGTACCAGTTCTCCATCAAAGTCCGATACCAAACATGAAGACAATCAGTCGACACCAAAATCAAAAAGTCCAGAGTTTAAGAGTACGGAATCAAGTCCAACCAGTCCCGTCAAGGAACGCGTCGTCGTCCCTATTCCTATCGAGATTCCAGAAGAGGAACCCATAGTTGACCTCAACGAGAGTCTGGCGTCGTCCCGTCCTCAGCGTCAGCGCCGGAAACCTAAAGTCTTCGATCTGTAGGGGAAGGGAATGTTGTATATGTATCTCAAGTAGTACTTTACAGGTTGGATCTTTAACCTTGAGTTTATGCGCATATGTGTGAATGTATGAAATCATGGTGTGTCCGTGCGTGTACGAATGAGGCAAATTGTTATATTTAATTCCGGTTTCTAATAAATTAGTTTGTTAATTGTTAATATTGTATTGTGTGCTATAAAGTCATTAAGCATCAAATACAACACAAAGCTGTCGGAATTCTGTCATGCAATCGAATCACGATGTACGCAAATAAAACCGAACTCGCGCCCAGGAACGTGATCGCGATGAACGTACCGAATTTATTTATCGAGACGGGAACCCGATAAATAATTCCCACTGTGCGATACACTTCGATGTTACTTTGTCTTAGAACTCCTTCGTCCAAGTACCCGTCAGCCAGGTCGATAAGGTTTTTGAACAGTTGGATTCCAATGAAGGATACAATCGCTAGGAGAATGAAGCAGCGAAAGATGTCCAATATCACGAGTAGAAAGAAGATATACCGTATCACAAATAGAATGATGGTATTTACAAGGGAGAGCGAAGCAGTGAATGTATTGATTTCAGGAGATTTTGAAATTATGAAGGTCATAATAAGACTGTGAGTCGATAGCCTAATGGCTAGAGAGCACGGTTGCGAACCAAATGGGCCAGGGTTCGAATCCTGGTGGCAGCGGTTTTTCCCGAAAGGGGTTTTCCGGTCTGTGTCGCAATCGTGTGGGGTCGGGGCCCCCTCACAGTGCGTGGTGGGGGAGTGCGGACTAGTGGCTGCACCTTGGGGTCCCCCCATCACATAGTTAGGTACTCTCTACGTAACAACCCATGAAAATTGGGAAGTAGAGTACGAGGTCAAAAAAAAAAAAAAAAAATTGTGACCCAGGGGTCCAATCGGAGCAGGAGAAAGACCAAAGTCACAGGAGGAGGAAGTAAGATGCCGGCCCAGACGAGGAGTCGGATGACGTAGTCGAGTAAGGCGAGACGACGAGATAGCTTTCTGGAGACGGGGACAGCTTAAAATAGAAAGGATACAAGTTTTAATTGGTAATAACGGTTAAAAAATGTCTAAAATTCATCCAAATACAGGATACGAAAAACCTATTCATTCATTTTTAACGTGCTCATAATTTAAAAATCAATCAATATTTGTTCATTAGGAATTATTCATTTTTCTTAGATGAGGCCATAGTTACTATATGGAAAAAAATCATCTAAGTAAGCATTCACTACAGGTTTGAAAAGCTTAATTCTTTCAGATCTCCGTCAATTTCCAACCGATTTTAATGAAATTTTGGGCAGAGTTAATTATGGCTACATCGAGTAGAGCCCTGATTTGGCCGCCTGAAGCATCCAACGGTCTATGAGATATTCAATAGAAACCCAACCAATAGTGTGTTTTTTGGAGATTTGAAAAAATTTAAGGCATGTATGAAAAAAGTACATGGATAAAAAGTTGATACATATTTACTATAAAAATACAAAATTAAAATAGACAAAATCGGTTTAAAAGTGAGAAAGTTTTGATGGTTGTGAAATGTAACCACTCCCACCACCGCCCAAAGTTGAGTTGCTAAGGTAGACCCAGCGACTTCTCAATTCAGAACCCATTTTGTATCTAGGTGATGCTTGGGGTCTCTTAAGGGCCCGGGGGAAGATTTGCTTTTAGAAAATTTATTTTATGTTAGCAACAATAATTTCTAGGGATCCAAGATTATTTATCACTCCATAAGGTTACGACCTTACGACCACGATTAATTGGCACCGTTTCTATAGCACGTTCACGTTCAGAAGCTTTGGTTTGGTCACTTTGCCCTCAAGTTTTGTAAACAAAGTTGTTTTCTTTGGTTCCATGGCTACTCAATTCAATTCATGCCATCAATTTTGCAATTCTAAACCAATCTGTGCTGACTTTATAACCAAATATCTCCACTGCACAAGAGGACAGATCGTCAAATTTTTTAAAAATAAAACCTAAAGATATAATTAACACTTTAAACATAATTTGACAAATCTGTCCTCTTGTACATTGCTGAATTTTATCGTCAAAGTTGACGTGATTTCTAAGCAACTTCCCCCAGGCCCTTAAAGAGTAGGTCATTAGTAATATGGTTGGTGGTCACATAATTACTCTTCAATACGAATAAAAACTAATAAATAAAAGAAACCCAAAAAAGGAAAGCTTAGATGAGACTAAGAAGTGCGATAAAAAATATTTAATAAATTTCTTCTCCAGTGAAGGACATCGAATTTTAATATTTCCAGCATCAGCGCCCCATTTCATTCACTACCAAGTACATACAAATATACAATAACTATCAAACTTGAAATATAACGCAGAGAGAAATATTAAAATCATTTGTGAATTTTTCTTGTCACTAAAAAATTATGAATGCTCACAAATATACTGAAAGTTGATACATGATATACAGGTGTAGCCTAACATAGTCGACTTTTAATAATATGTAGATATATGCATACATGTTGCTTATGTACAGACATTTGAGTAAATTCTTAAATGAAATGGGAGCGCTGATGCTGGAAATATTAAAATTCGATGTCCTTCACTGGAGAAGAAATTTATTAAATATTTTTTATCGCACTTCTTAGTCTCATCTAAGCTTTCCTTTTTTGGGTTTCTTTTATGGTGAGGCGTCAAGTTGACCCAGTCACATTGACCCACGACATATTGACCCGCTCATAATGACCCAGCGACATATTGACCCGATACCATATTGACCCAGCGACAGATTGACCCATGGTCATATTGACCCAGCGACAAATTGACCCAATACCATATTGACCCAGCGACAGATTGACCCATGGTCATATTGACCCAAGTCGTATTGACCCAAGTCGTATGTATTGACCCCATGGTATACATGTAAATACTATTTACTGCATACACAAATATCAATGCACGTAGCGTATGATACGCAATTAACCCTTTCGGTTCGGTTCCTTCTCAGTCTCATCCTGCCTCAACACCACTGATCCATTACTAAATACACAACGTATTCTAGATATACATATTGCCTTTTGAAAGGGATTTGTGTCGTCATACATATTAGTATGATGTCATCATATGACGTCACCGTTTACTGAGGGACCATCCGGTGGGGTAAAAAAATAAGTTGCCCTTAAACGACCTTTTTTAACATGCTGAGTAAAGCCATAGAACGGATTTTTCGAAATTCGAAAAAAAAATTTCCACCCGCTCAGAAAAGGGACCAACCATTTTCACTGCATATTGCATGACGGGAGACGGGTGGTGGTGATGCGACTACTTGCTTTGTACTCCAGCCGCCTTAATCTATATTTAGAATTCAAAAGGCACAAAAGGCATAAATAAAAGCAAGCTCACTACATCTTTGTCCAGCCAAGTACACGGTCAGTTCCCTTGCTTTATTTATCACCTTTCGCCGGTTTCACTGCTCTCCCTCCTATGACAACAATGGAATCATTGAAGGAAATTGTGACCAGTGACCCTAATCTCAAGGTTTTCCCCTCTGGTAAAGGAAAGAATTACGTAGCGACGTATAAGAGATTTTTCTATACGTACCACAGGGACGGGCTGGAAAAAACCACATTTCGGTAATTCACCTCCTTGGTAATTTTTGAGTTCTGGTCACGCATTATTCTAATCTGTACAGGTGCGGGGAGCGACTTAAAGGGTGTAAGGGCCGGATTCACTTATCTGAATCACGCAAATCCGTTGTTGATGATTCACAAGCCCAGGAGTCGTGTCACACCCACGGACCGGACCCATCGAGATGCAACGCCAAACTCCTTATGTCAAAGGTCAAGTCAAGCGCCACAAATTCGAGAGAAGCAACTACTTCAGTGCTTGCTGTTCATCTTAAAGCTGTCCCTTCTTCCAGTCTGGGTGTATTACCGTCTATGAAGTGTATGAAACGAACAATTCAAAGAACACGCCAAGCAGCACAAATTCACCCTATTGTCGCAACAACGCGGTCTGAAATCCCTGACCTGAGTGGAAGGTTTTTAACAATTGATGGTGGCGACCTTTTGAAGATTGATGTCACGATCTCCTCCCCTAATGAAAGAGTTCTCGTCTTCTCAACAAATAAAAATTTGGATTGGCTGCAAGCGTCGCACCACTGGTTTTGCGACGGGACATTCAAGTCGTCACCGTCGCTATTCGACCAGCTGATAGTCATACATGGACTACGACTTGACGGAAACAAAGTCACGTGCTTTCCTCTTGTTTATATTTTGGCCCCCAATCGCCTACAAAGGACCTACTATCGCATTTTTACAGAATTAAAGTCGTTGCAACCAGGATTGGCCCCCATTTCAATCATGACCGACTTTGAGAGTGGATTAAGAAATGCATTTGTAAAAGCTTTTCCCCAAGTGACCTTGCGAGGATGTTGGTTTCATTTTCGGCAATGTAACGTTAAGCACATCCAAGGTATTTAAAATAATTTTCAATAATTTAATAAGTCATTTCTTTATCCGCATTTCAATATAGTTTTAAATTTTAGGAGATCCAGAGCTCAAAGAGCTTGTTTCGACTGATCCTGATTGGGCATTAGAACTTCGGAAGCTAATTGCGTTGTCTTTTGTCCCAAAAGAACAAGTTGTAGCCGCCTTCGACGAAGTGGAGTCTTCTCGACCATTTGTCGACAATTCTGAGGTTCTGGAACGATACATGGATTATTTTAACAATACATGGATTGGTGGTTTTGATCGCCGCGGAAATAGGAAACCCCCATTGTTTTCAATTGAGTCTTGGAATTGTTATGAATCCGTAATTCAAGGTTTGCCAAAAACCAATAATTACTGTGAAGGATTCAATAGCGCCTTCTCCTCCATGCTGTCCGCCCATCATCCAACCCTGGATCGGTTTGTTCCTGAAACGACAGAGACTTACGGAATGCAGCATGGAACAATTCTTGGCTGGAACGACCCCTAACCCCCCTGCTGCTCAAATGAAAAGTTCCGAAAAACTAAAGCATTCCGTG